TATATAGTGTTTCTTGGATATATCCTCATTTAGGTCTACAGGGTGTTTCTTGGATATATCCTCAGTCAGGTCTGCAGGGTGTTTCTTGAATATATCCTCATTTAGGTCTAAGGGGCGTTTGTAGGATATATCCTCACTCTGTTCTACAAGAAAGATGGGATAGAAAGATAAATAGATAGAGAGATAAATTGATAGATAGATAGATAGATAGATAGATAGATAGATAGATAAATAGATAGATATACAGATAGATAGATAGATAGATAGATAGATAGATAGATAGATAGATAGATCGATAGATAGATAGATAGATATAGATGGATAGATAGATAGATAGATAGATAGATAGATAGATATAGATAGATAGATAGATAGATAGATAGATAGATAGATAGATAGATAGATAGATAGATAGATAGATAGATAGATAGATAGAAGGATGAAATAAAAATGATTAATAACCTGAGATTATTAGAAAATTACTATTTTAACCCAGAACCAATTAAGTGACCTCTGATTTAACCTGTAAATATCCAACAATCGGCTCTACTGCGGATTAAGCCATCTATAGAATACTAGGCTTTCAGAGCGCTACGTGCACCTACTTTTAGAGGGATTGTGTACGTAATGTCAAGTGATCCTACATTAATTTATAGGAATCTCTTATAGACAAAGCTTTGTCTGATCAAGTATGAATTAGAGTTTGTTTTGAAAACTGACAAAGCGTCGTATCTACCACATTATTGACCAGATTAAGGTGTCAAGGTACCGTTGTGAATAGGAATTTCTATCTTTGCATGGAGGGCCTCTTAAACTAATCATTAAATGGCTCAAGCGAATTGAATAAAACTTTAACTTTTTATGTATATCCTCCCCCCTTTTCGGCCAATGCACTTCAGGTTCTATTGCAATTACATGGGGGGGGGGGGGCATCCTATCCTATTAACGATCATTTGCAAAGATATCAAGATAAAATTAGTTTTTGGTCAATTTATCTAACGATTTAGATTAAATACATGATTACAACATATAAATAATATTTTATCAAAATATTATAATGATTGGATGCATTATGAGTTAACTCAATAAATTAGAACAAAGTTTTATTATTTATTTAAGTTTTAGAAAAATGTTAAAGGTAAAGCACGTGGATTTAAAGGTTCTGTCAATATTCCAGAAACCTGTGACTTTCAATCTCAATTTCACCTATTAAACATAACTTTTTTGCTTTTTTCTTATATAATTTTTTGCTGACATATACTTTTTGAATGAAAAGTATTAAACAAACAAATCCGTAGGTTTATACATTGTTTAATTATAGACCGAAACGCATATGACTTTAAATAGAAGAAACCGAACGCCTCTCACTCTGGTTAGTCCGGGGTGAAAGGGTGTCAAGTGGGGAGAGAATCCTGTCAGCGAGAAAAGAATCATTAATGCAGGGATTATATAGAAACCATCAATCGACAAAATAAGGGTGCCATGTTGTGAATCGGACATGTCACTCTACATACAAAATTATTATTTGTAAATCCGCAAATGAATACAGGAAAAATCGCAAAGTTTTTATTGTTTTACCGTGGGATAGAAAATATATCAACATCAAAAGACTAACGTCATTAATAAAACGTTGAGCGCGAATCGCCCTGTAAACTTATACATGTACTATGTACTTTAACGAACAAACATACTGACTCACAATGAAATGTATGAATGTTAAAATGACCAGCAAATAATCAAATTTGACATTTTAAATTCTGTTTAATTCTTGGGAAACTTATTGTTCTGTTTGCATTGCATGTTCTCTATTTGATTCATAATCTGCAACTATTTGATATTTATCCTTGGTCAAATTCTAGCCTTTTAAAATGATTTTTTTATGTTTAAATTTTTTTACAGAGAAAGTTTTATAATCTTTATAAATGCATGTGTTTAAGAGAAAATGTATTTCTAACCCAACAAATAACTTTAAAAAAGCCCTTATTTTCTAAAAGTATGTCTATCTTTTTTGGACTTTGTCTTCCACATTTTTGGACTTTTTCTTTATCTCTTGGACTTTGTTCACATCTTTCGTACTTTGCCTTCCACTTTAGAACCTCATTTTTCTTTTTTGTTCTTTTCTCCTTTTTTTTCTTTGTCTCCCTCTTTCGTAATTTGTCTCCCTCTTTTGTACTTTGTCTCCCTCTTTTGTACTATGTCTTCCTCTTTTATACTGTGTCTCCCTCTTTTGTACCTTGTCTCCCTCTTTTGTACCTTGTCTCCCTCTTTTGTACCTTGTCTCCCTCTTTTGTACCTTGTCTCCCTCTTTTGTACTTTGTCTCCCTCTTTTGTAATTTGTCTCCCTCTTTTGTAATTTGTCTCCCTCTTTTGTACTTTGTCTCCCTCTTTTGTACCTTGTCTCCCTCTTTTGTACCTTGTCTCCCTCTTTTGTAATTTGTCTCCCTCTTTTGTATTTTGTCTCCCTCTTTTGTAATTTGTCTCCCTCTTTTGTAATTTGTCTTCCTCTTTTATACTGTGTCTCCCTCTTTTGTTCTTTGTCTCCCTCTTTTGTAATTTGTCTCCCTCTTTTATACTTTGTCTCCCTCTTTAATGTACCTTGTCTCCCTCTTTTGTAATTTGTCTCCCTCTTTTGTAATTTGTCTCCCTCTTTTATACTTTGTCTCCCTCTTTAATGTACCTTGTCTCCCTCTTTTGTACTATGTCTCCCTCTTTAATGTACTTTGTCTCCCTCTTTTGTAATTTGTCTCCCTCTTTTGTAATTTGTCTTCCTCTTTAATGTACTTTGTCTCCCTCTTTTGTACTTTGTCTTCCTCTTTTTTACTTTGTCTTCCTATTTTGTGCTTTGTCTCCCTCTTTTGTACTTTGTCTCCCACTTTTGTAATTTGTCATCCTATTTTGAGCTTTGGCTTTCTTTGTAGTACTTTGTCTTCCGCTTTTGTACTTTGTATTTATCTTTTGTACCTTGTCTCCCTCTTTTTTCTTCACTTTCCTCTTTTGTACTTTGTCTTCCTCCTTTGTTTTTTGTCTTGCTCATTTGTACATAGTCTTTCACTTTTGGACTTTGTCCTATTTTTTTACTTTTTCTTTATTTTGAACTTTGTCTTCCTAATTTTCGACTTTTTGTCTCTTCTTAGATCTTTGACTCTCTCTTTTTGACTTTCCGTTCCTCCTTTTGACTTTGTGTACATGTGTTGGACTTTGTTTTCCTCTTTAGGACGTTATCACCTTTTTTGGACTTCTTCCATAGGGGTTTGTATTACTTTTTTAAAGGTGAGTATGAGGGAAAAAGGAAAGGGGGTATGGAATGAAACCTGAGAATCTCAGGCGTTGAACGATGCATATAAGACATTTATCTGATGTTTCTGTCTCTAGAAATTGATATAAAACTGTGCCAAAAGTATGCGAAAATTCATATTTATACAATTTTGTATAAAATCAGTAGGTTTTAACAGATCATATTCAGCAAATATGCAACCAATCGGGAAAAGATGTAATCCCAAAGGAGCCTTAGAATCTCAGGTTTGCTCCTGTTATAATTTTTCAATTTTCATTTTTCTTTTTTAATAGATATAATTGATAATATTATTACATAAAGTCTGTATAGTCCGTATTACGTCACCAGAACTTCCGCCAAAGGCAGTACAGTATACTGGTAACGTGATTTCCGTCTGTATCACGTGACAATGATACTGCACTGCTATTGGCTGAAAATGTGGTGACGTAATACCGACTATACGGACTATATGAAATAGAATTATCAATTATATCTATTAAAAATGCAAAATGCAAATAAAAAATTATAATAGGAGCAAACCTGAGATTCTCAGGATTTAATCGTTTTCAGTTTAGTTGCGTATTTGCTGAATATGATCTATTTAAACCTACTACTTTTATACAAAATTCTATATACACGAATTTTCGTATAATTTGGACACAGTTTTATATCTATTTCTCGAGACAGGAACATCAGATAGATATCTTATATGTATCGTTCAACGCCTGAGATTCTCAGGTTTCATCCTATATCCCCTTTCCTTTATTCTTTACAGTCCCTTTAAACAGAAATCATTCCAAAGCTATTTTTGGATGCTTCTTATTTAGTAAAGAAAAAGTGGTGACACATTATAAAACTCTGATCAATGAAAAAATAAATAATTTTCAAAAAGTGCACAACGAAGTTGTATTGTATACAGTTTTTAGCAAAACAGAAGCTTGTGGAGCCCCTGCAGATCAGGGGCTCCACAAGCTGTTAATTTATTGTCATAATTTGAAATCAAAACTATGATGTTCACTCTCTAACCAAAGGAACTAATTACAAGCAACAAAATCAATATTTCAATCTTTTAAATGTACCTAATGTCGTACGCTTTTGATTTTTCAAATCAGCAAATAGATTACTTGATAATATATTTGCAAACTATGAATTTTGCTTGATCAAATCAGCAAATTTTGACAAATCAATCCAAAATAAGCCAACAGGTCTTAAAGAGTAGAAAATTATGGTTTATGGCGATTAATCATTTCCTTTTTATATGTCTCTTAAAGACTTTACATGTTCTCGTTGATTTTTAACAAAGTGGCATGAATTGGAACTCATTAATGAAGAAACTGATTTCTCGTCACTAACCCTTACTTACTTATCCCAAAATCTTTGCAACCTGATGGTGTTAATTTTTGATATTTTAATTTTGACTAATTGTTCTATCAGAATTCTATGGATTGAAACATCAAAGGGATCCACGACGTCAGAATGCAACAGTTATTTTAGAAATTTTGACTCGGTCCAAGATTCAAGTGGAGGGGGGCTTAGCTCCTTCACACTCCTAGCTGTTTTATATAGGTTTTGAAAGGGGGGGGGGNGGTTTGAAATATTAAATTTGAAAATCAATTAAGGTTTAAGCCTCAATGCTTTCATCAAACAACACATTTTAGTTTTTGAATATTAAAGATTTTATAAATCAAATCCTCATGTTTTTTATCAAACCATATTTTAAGAAAATTATAAATTTTATATTTTATTATCTAACCATAATAATATTGTCAGAAAAGTATCACTAAAAATCAGAACTACTATTATTGATTATGATCACAATCTAGGAATGTTAAAGAAAAATAAATTTTCAAAATTATAAATTTTGAGGTAGCATCTCATCTGCAATTCTGGAATGTTTGGTTGACGACCCTAAAAATCTGCGAGAAAAGATGCTCAAAACGTTCCGGTTTCCTCAAATACGTATCTCGAGGATTTCTCCCAACATTTATATTTTGCGCATTTTTCAAATAGATAAAATAATAATAAATAAGAATGAATATGATTAGCAAGTGAATACTGGTTTAGGATCTGAGATTCAAGACTATAATATTTACAATAATAATTATGAAAAAAATATTTTTCTGGGATACAATAATGTTTTCAAAGATGAAAATGTAGGTTGACAATGACAATGAACTAATTAAGTTTTATAACAAATAATACTCACACTAAATGTTAGGTGTGCGCTACAATAGGGGTAACTCTGTATACACACTGTATAGGTTAAATGTTTTATCAAGTATTGATAGATAGATAGATCACTGGTTTTTGACAAGATAAGTTTTGACTTCTATCGCGAAGGTTTAAAATGGATCAACTGGGTTTTGGCCTTATCTGTTTATATAGCTTTTATAATTTCAACTAAAGGGTTGCTTCTATGTGCTCTCTATGGGTATTTGTGTTCATTTTCTAGCTTTGATTTATTTGACTTGTGGTGTTGGTGGTTGCTGTTGGGTTGGTGGGGCTCCTGCCCCCGCCCAACTGCTGTAAACCTCTCTGCACTGACCGACAACACACTCGCTGCTGCAGTACGTACTCTCGGTTCCATCAGCTGCTTTATTGACTGGTCTACCGCAGCCGGGTCGGCCGCATACTCCAGGTTGACCCAGCTGGTTGTGATTCCTGTCCTGTGATACTGGATGATATCCGTCAAATTGTCCTGTAGGACCGGTATACTCAGAATACTTGTCCTGGTATCCTTGTCCTGCTACTGAGGACATATGGGCCGGGTGTCCTGGATGTCCCGGATGTCCTGGGATGGCGGGGTGTCCTGGGATTTGATGGGATGATACGGGGATGGAATGAGGAGAGTGTCCCTGGGATGAAGCCGGAAGAGAGAGGCAGGGCGGAGAACTTCCGGAGCAATCGTTTCCGGGTCCGACCTAGAGTAGACAGTGTAACTACAGGTGGGNCCCCCCCCCACACACCGTCATATCCTACACTTCAATAGTAAAAGGAGAAAGTAGATAAAAGAGAAAGCTATAATTCATAAAAACAGGAAAGAATACAAGGACGCAGGAAACGAAAATTGTAATAGATAAATAAATAGGTAAAAATCAATTATACACTTTAAAACAAAATAATAAAATATAGAATTCATTTTTATAATCTTTTAAAACAATATATGTTTTGTTGTTATCAATCGAAAGTTATCGTTATTTTTAAAAAGACTTGACTTTTTGAAAACATAGACGTGGATAAATTTGAAATATAATCCATCTGAGTTACGCACTGCGAATAAAAGGGCTCAACAAGGGGGAGATGATGAGAATCAGTGGGAAGGGGTGGGGGGTAAGAGCATGAAGGATTGAAGAGTGAAGAAAGATAATAAAGATGTCAGTCTGTTTATGCAAATGTGTTCATACCAACCTTAGGACTCCACCCAAAACTATTTATTTGAAAATTATTATAATTATTCTGTTCTTTATTACCCGGCCCTAAATTACCCCCATATATAATATATATTCTCGTAGAGCAATTGCCTAAAATTGTGTGAAAAGCTTAGGCAAGAGTATTTAGCAAAATTGGTTTAAATTCCTTAATTGTTTCGTAGATTTTACAGACTGATTAATAAAAGTTGTAAGAATTAGTAAGAAACCAATATGGCGGGAAAATAAAAATGGCAGAGAAAAAAATAATATAAAAAATGTATTACCTGATTATTGAACTCGTTACTAGGATGGAACCCCTGTCCTCCAGGTGATACTTGATTAATTGATTGACTGGGGGCGCTGGGAGGATGGGGCGGGATATTTTGTCCCACTCCCATGTGAGGATATCCGTATCCAGGGAACCCAAACATATCCTCGGCCTGTCCCTTGGATACCAACGATGCTCTATAAGAGGCCAACTGCCTTAAATATTCCTTCTTGGCCATTTCAGTTCTCTTTTTATATAAGGCCTTGCTTTCACTATCCAGAGAGTCCCAGAGCGATGCAACCATTTTAGAGACGTCGCCAAAAGTGAGATTTGGGTTTCTACCCTTAATAGAGGCTTGGGAGTCTCTAAAAAAGAGTGCATAGGCTGAGACAGGTTTTTGGGGCTCATTAGGATCCCTCTTCTTCTTCCGGCGTGATGCTTTGGGTTTTTTGGGTTGAACAGGAGAAGGTCTAAAGGTCTCTTCAGGACATCTTTTCAACTCAAGTTGTGTCATATCTTCTCCTGGAATATCCTGAAAAAAAAAGTTTTAAATCTGGTTTTTTAAACACTGGAAAGTGTGCATTTAAAAATATAAATGTGTTAATATTATGTAAAAATTTTATTTTTACAGATATGAAAATGAAAAGAAGATAAAAATTCGTGGATTTTCTCACCTGAGAATGTGGACTAGGTGTACTGTTTGACCCTGTAGGGGAGCGTGCCGGGGGGTGGTATCCTCCTCCTCCCATGGGACTATCTGATCTGTACCCCATGCTGTACATATCCTCTCTGCTGTACTGATGTGTGTACGGGTACTGCTGGTACTGCTGTTGCTGACCGTACCCCTGCTGAGAAATAAAAAGAATAAAATAAGCTCTTTAAACAAACAAATATGGCGGAAAATCCTACCAACCTTCATCTCAGAGTCTGAAATTTAAAAGAGTATTGCTGAACGAAACGTCTGAGTTTCCTTTTTGGGGTCTTAACATTTTGTAGATTTTGATTTAAAAGATTCAACAAAAATTAAGAATATGAAGAAAATAAATAAAATGATATTTTATAACAAAAATATTGATATCCACAAAACTGCCTAACCCCATTTATGAAACCCTAATTTCAAAACTGGTTTTCATGACGATACCCTGTCTTAAGTTTTGAGCTCAGAAGTTACAATGTCGGAAGTCTCAAGTTTTTAATTTTTGTCATCCTTTTTCAATTCATAATTAAGAGAAAGTTGCAGAGGTGCAAGAAATTAAATTATCAGATGGATATAAGATACAAAGATTTAAAAAATGGCGACAATTTTAAGTCTTGACGGCATCCCTTTCAATTAAGGTTCATCCAAAAACACGCTGTTACATAATTTTCTGTGTCTCTCTCTAGCTATCTACATATCTATCTTTCAGGCAAAATTGGCTTCATTCACGGTGTTTAATTAAAAATTTGAATTCTGAACCCAGTAACCCCTGGACGCTGGACAGTTGAGAAGTAAAAATTAAAAGTTGGGATTTTTACATATTTCAAGTTTATCCTAATTTTATCACAATGTAGTTTTAAGGAGTATTTAAGGGATTCAAGAAACTCTCCATCTATAGTTGTGGCTTGATCGATTCACAATGGTACATATAGAAGCTTTTTCTGATCGAAAATGCTTGAGAAGTCCATCGTTTTCTTTTTAAAATTTGATTATTTTCGACTCAGAAACAAAGGAGAAAATGTTTAGAATTGATCACAGTTCAAACTAGACAAATAACGAATCTTCCAAATTATTGATGAAACAAGGTTTCAAGGGTATGTGAATCGGACATTCTGTTTTCTAAATGGTAGATCACTTGTAATAACGTCTACAGTTTCTTTAGAGTTCTAGTTTTTACCTGATAATAATTTATTTGATTATAATCTCCTCCACACCATTGATTGTAGTAATGTTGATCTTGATACTGCATCTGATCTGATATATGATGCTGGTCCACCTAGACATATATATATTGTATCCTTGGTATCCCTGGTATCCCTGGTATCCCTGGTATCCCTGGTATCCCTGGTATCCCTGGTATCCCTGGTATCCCTGGTATCCCTGGTATCCCTGGTATCCCTGGTATCCCTGGTATCCCTGGTATCCCTGGTATCCCTGGTATCCCTGGTATCCCTGGTATCCCTGGTATCCCTGGTATCCCTGGTATCCCTGGTATCCCGGGTATCCCTAGTATCCCTGGTATCCCTGGTATCTCTGGTATCCCTGGTATCCCTGGTATCCCTGGTATCCCTGGTATATCTACCTGTTGATGATGGTACATTATTCCTCCTGTCTCTAAACCACCAGGACTCTCAATCTTCATTTCACCGGGCAAACTTGTCATAGACATCTAATAGATATATTTATTATTAAGATGTATTTTAATAATTCATTTTGCATCTTTATATGGGAGGATTTTTATCATTATTATTTTAACTATTATATCATTTCTTAATATTAACATTTATATTGAACTCAACTTGTTATTCTACGTAATTGTGATTGGAATTGTTTGAAAACTAAATAATTTGAATTTTATGATAATTTTAACAACCATTCTTCTAAATTCTTAAACTCTGAAAATATTTTGAATTGTATATTTTGACCTCATGACCTTTGGGCCTAATGCACCAGGGTCAAAAGTTGAAGTATTTTGAGGAATGAAGGAGAGGATGGGGGGGGGGTAGGTTTGTAATGATATTTTGTTTTGATATATGTAGGTTGAGTTATTGATGAACGTAAGAAGCTGATGTTTTCATGTAAATTTTATGATAATATTTCCTAGCGTCTCTTGTTCTACCATCTTCAAGTATGTATATATTTATATAATATATATATATATATATATTTATATATATATAGTAAGAACCGGAAAAGGTGAAATAAATATCGTCTTTGCTCTTCATTTCACTTAAGAAATGTTTCAAACGATTTTGTAATGTCGTGTTTTCTCAATTTGACCTGAAATGTTTTCAGAAAGGAGATTCTGAGATTTTACCACAAAATCTGATTCTCTAAAGTCTAAACGCTTTATCTTTGCAACCCAATGTCATAACCCTTCGAAAATTCAAACTATAAACCAAGTTTAAAATATCAGGTTGCAAAGAATTAGGGTATTGGAAAATTTAAGTTTGTGACAAAGAAGCAATTGTTTTATCTAGCGGTTTTAGAGAAATTAAAAACTTCAAAAGTTACATCGAAATTCCGGAAATAAAGAACGAAGGGAGACGACAATCATATCACAGAATTTGACCCCTCTATAGAATATACATACTACGTAGGTTGTCGTGAACATGAAATATTTCGTTTTGTAGAATTCTTGCTTAAATAAAAACTCAAATAATGTATTTAACTTTATCTAACCCTGCATTCTTTGTGGGTATTTAAAATCTAGAATTTCTACTAAAATTCTCAAAAATATTTCAAAAATCTTGAAAAAACAGCATCTGGCTGAACGCGGAACTAAATAGTGCTAAGTTTGTCCGTATTAGATTTATAGGTAAGAGTAATTGGAGCAAATAAAAAGTCTATAGCAGAAGATAAAAAATGCATGAAAGTGTGCCCAAAAGTAAAGGCTAATTTCAAATTAAGAGTTTTAAAAACCTCTTAATCAGCATTGACGGAACGCCATAATATTAAAATAAGCAGGAAAAAATTATTATGTTAAGCCTAACATTGATTTTTAGGTTTTTTAGTTTAAATATTATCCAAAAAAAATGTCAAAATATTACGGACAGGAAACTGTCTTAAATATCGATTTTTTTATCATAAAACCTTTAGGGAAAATATACCATGTTTTGTCCAAATACATTATGATCAGAAATAGACTCGTGATACCATCAAAAGCATGAACTGCTTTTAAACTATTTTTCAATGAAAGATGTTAAAATAATGGTAAAAAATGTAGATTTATAAAACTATTCTTGTCAAATTTTCTTGGAAACGACAATCGTTACATTTTATATTTGTTATCACTGTATGAGAATTTTTAATAATTTAATTAATTTAATTAATTTAATAATTCTAATAATTTTTAAAAAACTAAGTAATTGGATAAACAAGAAAAATGTTTTCAATTACCTGTGAATTTTCTGATTCTTCAAAGGACTGATTGATACCGGGGGTCATCTCTTTTCCTAACTCTGTATTTCCATCCCTATACGTAGACTGTGTAATCATTTTCTCAACTATGCAACAGTCAAATCATTAATTTTCTCAACTCTGTCAAACAAGAGATTGAAAATTGAAATATTAATCAGAAATTCTGGAATTCTGCCGGCCCAACGTAAATTGGTTTTCTTTCGCTCATAAAAGTTTTGAAAACATCAAAGTTTTGCTTTTGATGGAGAGAGAGTTCTAACAAATCCCAATACAGTTCTCCCTTTCAGAGATTTTACATGATTTCACAAACGTTTAGCCAGACATTCACATTTGTGAATAAGTCTATTTCACTTTTACACAGTTCTGCGGACGTGGTGGAAAATTTCGAAAATATTCCCAAAACAGTTTTGCGGATTTTGTTGAAACTTCTCTGAAATAATTTGGTGGATTTCGCTGGTTTCACTGATCAGATGGGATCAGTGTTGAATACTTGAATTCTTCTAACTCAATAAATTGTTTTTGAAATATTTTTTAAAGATGTCTGGAACTGTTGGGTTGGATTGGTTTAGCGCCAAGGGCAGAACTCTACTCTGAAAAAAAACAATTAGTTTAAATTATTGTATTTTTTGTTCGATTTCATTGAATTCTTAATGTTTTATTTTCAACGTATTTTTGACAAATGCCATAAGCAATTCACAGAAGCTTTTAAACCTTAATTTAATCTCTACACTATTTCCCTAACTCTAGTTTTCTAATCCTTATATCTTTACAGCCTGATGGTGTAAGCCTTTGACATTTCAAACGTTAACTGATTCAAAGTTTGAAATATATAAGGTCTATAATACTGGGTTGCAAAGATATGAGGAATAGAAATTTTAGAGTTTTATGGAAATGTTCGACTCTTTTTGACATTTTTTGGCTGTTTTCGGTCCTTTTCTTAAAATGTAAAATAAAATAAAAAAAATGCTCAGATAAATTCTTATACTTCGTTGTGAATCGTTGATAGCTCTCTGCATTTTGAAGATAACTTAAAATTCCTAAACAGTCCCTTTAGGTGTCTACCCACGGTTAAATAAACACTCTAAACTGATATTATTTCCAATAAACAAACAAAATATCAAACAGTATTGGGGAATAAATATTGGGCTTTCTTTCCTACATATATTTTTATTTTTATTTTTATTTTTGTTGAGCAACAACTTAGTTTCTGTTCAACGTACATTTCTAGTGAAGAATAATATTATGAGGTAAAATTTTTTACATTTTAAATCTGTTTAATAGCGGTCAGCCAGTTAGTTCTCTTCCAACATGATGGTTAAATTTAAGCCAGTCCTTTCTTTAAATCATTTCTCAACAACTTCTATGTTGAATCAATAGCCCCGGAATAATACCCTTAACTTGAATGTGGATTAGAGTTCAATCGATTTGGCGCTATCCCAACCAAAGTATTTATCATCTGTTAAATAAGAAAAACTAGGTTTACTATGGCGCGTCACACCCCTAGCTTTCCTATTTACAATTTTGAAGCATCCAATTCCAGAATAATGAGAAGTAACAACTAAAATAGTTCATACACGTTACTAACTTTGAAAAAAATGTTCATCAATAAGTATGTCGTTAAAAGAAACTTAATTTTTCAAAACAAAGCTAGCTGTGCAACCTATAGAACAAGAAGATTTTACGTAAATATTTCTTTTTCGCGTAAATTTCTATCTAAAAGTATAGCTAAGGTAAGTTGGATTTCAGACATTTTTGTCATTATATCATATTTCAAAAGTAAGTAATCGTATAGAGTTAGTTACCTTGTCAACCGACTGATGTAATCAAATATCACAGTTTTAACTTTAACGTGATGTATGTAGTTACGGTTTGCCAGAAAGTGTTCAACTGAACCAAGAATTGTCCGATTTCCGCGCCAACCATTCCGAGCCGGGCCGGTACATCTTCATCTCAGCAGGAATAGCCCAAGCTGGGAAGTATTTAGCCGGTCCTTGCCATAATATTTCGCGCATTTTACGACGGAATCTTTACAACGGTTTTCAAGGATTTCAAGTCGAGGTTTAGTGGTTTTATTTTTAACACATCTTACACTTTTAAGTTTTATTTCACACTTTTCAGTAAAAAAGGGCGTCTGTTGGAATCGAAAGAATACAGTTGAAAAATTAATCAATTGAAGGAAATCAATTACTCTGAGTTTGATTTATCTAACAATATAAAGGAGAGGATCGATTATCTGTCCACTATATTGTAGCACAGAATGTTCTCGATAATTTATAGAGTTAGAAAGGAATACTTTCATAAAATATTAGAAGAAATATATTTATCTTTATCATGAAAAACATTAAAATACTTTTCAATACAAAAATATTATACTTATCGCAAATAACATGTTTGCTTAATTTTTCACTATATCTATCTAATTATCTATCTATCTATCTATCTATCTATCTATCTATCTATCTATCTATCTATCTATCTATCTATCTATCTATCTATCTACTATCTATCTATCTATCTATCTATCTATCTATCTATCTATCTATCTATATATCTATCTATCTATCTATCTATCTATCTATCTATATATCTATCTATCTATCTATCTATCTATCTATCTATCTATCTATCTATCTATCTATCTATCTACCTATCTATCTATCTATCTATCTATCTGTCTACCTATCTATCTACCTATCTATCTATCTATTTATCTATCTATCTATATCTCCTCCTGGTCTACTTGTGTCTATATCAGTATCTAAAGATCTCTTGTAGCTCTCCGTTAAACTGACACAATATGGTTTGTAGATTACTATCTTCAGTTTTAAATACTAGGTAGGGTGTCCCAATAGTAAAATTCTCTCTTCAGTTTTAAATACTAGGCAGGGTATCCCAATAGTAGATTACTCTCTTCAGTTTTAAATACTCAGGGGGTGTCCCCAATACTTAGTAAATTAATAACTATCTTCAGCTTTAAATACATGACAGGGTGCCCCAATAGTAGATGTTTATCTAAAGTTTTAAATACTAGACACAGTGTCCCAATAGTAGTTGTTTATCAACAGTTTTAAAAACTAGACACGGTGTCCCAATAGTAGTTGTTTATCTACAGTTATAAATAATAGACACGGCGTCCCAATATTTGATGTTTATCTACAGATTTAAATACTAGACACGGTGTCCCAATAGTATATGTTTACCTACAGTCTTAAATACTAGGTACGGTGTCCCAATAGTAGATGTTTACCTACAGTTTTAAATACTAGACACGGTGTCCCAACAGTATATGTTTATCTACAGATTTAAATACTAGACACGGTGTCCCAATAGTAGATTTATGTTCTCAGTTTTTGACAAATGTGGAATAAATACTATTTGTCCTATATGGAATACAGGAAATACTATATTGTCTTTAGAATACTAAGAATACTATGTGTCCGTGCAGAATAACTGGAATTCCATTATCTGCAAAATACAAGGAATACAATGTTCTTGGAATACTATATGATCGGTGGAATACAAGGAATACTGCTGTGGAATACAAGGAATACTATGTGTTCTGTAGATAATAGGAATACTGCTGTGGAATACAAGGAATACTATGTGTTCTGTAGATAAAAGGAATACTGCTATGGAATACAAGGAATACTCTGTGTTCTGTAGATAAAAAGAATACTGCTGTGGAATACAAGGAATACTGCTGTGGAATGCAAGGAATACTGGTATAGAAAACAATGAATTAGTATCTTCTATTCTAGGTTTAAAAATTATTACTTTAGAATACAAGGAATAGTATATTCTTCATACTAGGAATACTGCTGTGAAATACGTATTTTGTGGAATAAATGAAATACTCTAAATTGTGGAATTCCTCAGATTGATTTCATGAAGAAAAGAATTTTTCATAAAAAAACACTTTCATGTTGCCAACGCCGTGAAAGTAGTGCGGCGCGGCCCAACAGCTGAAAATGGCGCGCACTGCCGAGGTAATGTTTGGGGCTAATTATCAGTCAGGGTGACAGAAATTAGTTTGTTATTTAATGAAGTCACGCACCACAGGCCGGGGCCATTTTTCTCTTTAAACTTGATTTAAATTGACTTTAAACTTCATTTATTTAACTCTGGTTTTCATGCTTTGTTGTAATTGTAACAGGACAAAACGCAAGAAATATTTTAATTGAAAACAGTTACACTTTGATGATTAAGACAATGAATTCATACACAGATTAATTAATGTCTAATTTTGTATCCACAAACAAATGTATATATGTAATTAAATAAGCAAAAAAAGTCGGCACTTAGACAACAAGATATATTTTAAGATATAATTTAAGAAATAGACAACTAGATTTATCGATAATAACTAGACAACTAAATAAACATAAAATAGACAACTATAATCATAAAATATACAGTAGACTAGACCACTAGACAGATACCTAAACAGATACCGAGACAGGTACCTAGACAGATAACTTGACAGATAATTAGACAGATAACTGAACGGATAACTAGAAAGATAACCAGACAGATAACGAGACAGATATATTATGACAATTACTAGAAATATACTAGACAGATAACTAGACAGATAACTAGACATATAACTAGACATATAACTAGACAGATATCTAAACAGATACCGAGACAGGTAACTAAACAAATACCTAGACAGGTACCTAGACAGATAACTAGACAGATAATTAGACAGATAACTAGACAGATACCTAAACAAATACCTAGACAGGTACCTAGACAGTTCTCTAAACAAATACAAAGACACATAACTAGACAGATATCTAGACAGATAACTAGACAGATAATTTGACAAATATTTAGACAGATATTTAGATAGATAACTAGAAAGATAACTAGACAGAAAACTAGACAGCTATATAGACAGATAACTAGACAGATAACTAAACAGATACCTTTACAAATAACTAAACAGATTCTTAGACAGATAACTAGACTGATAACTAGACAGATAACTAGACAAATAACTAGACAGATAACTAGACAGACTTTAGACTGTAGGTAAAGGTCAACAATTTACAGTATCCTCACGAAAAGACTGTTTTATGTAAATTTACATAAAATTCAAGTGTAATGGTTTGCAAAACAATAAATTTTTCTCCAGCCGAATTTATTTCCATTTTATAATGGGTAATAAAAACACTTTACAGGATGATAAACTTGTCTTGGAAACGTATAAATAAAGACTTACATTCAACGTTTTAACAAAATCAGAATTTTAGAATAGTTTCTGTTTCACTTTAAACATTATATTCAATAAGAGCTGGGAAATTTTGAAGGAATGGATTAGTTTTACCGCGTTTCTAGTGAGTTTAGCTTAGGAAACTTTTGCTTTAACTTATTTAAATTGAGAATATTCAAAAACCTAGTTTTCCAAAAGGAGATGTATATTGCAACTTTTAAACTTTGTATATTTAAAATTACGTTTTTTTATTATGACACTTCTAGGAGAGGGTTATTTTTTTAATAACCCTCACATCTGTTACGTTCATGTATCTTGTTGCATGATATTTTTCTATTTGCGTCTTTAACTACTAGCTGTTCATATTGAACATTCGGTTGAACTCATAATAACGTGGAATACGAAGACGACTGTTTAACTACTAAATTATTAAACTGTATAACGAAAAACATTAAACATAGCAATTGTTTAAAGTAGCGGGCTCATTTCACTTATTAATTGATTTTTAACCCTTTCTTAACAAAGTGGAAAATTATTTGTAATAACATCAAAAAGATTGCTTAGAGGGAATGAAAGCGTAATTTCAAGTGATCCTCCAGGCAAAGATGACATATCAGATTAACAACAGTACCTTTGACACCATTATCTAATCAAAAATGTAGAAATAAAAAAAATTTGATATCTAATGCAAACTTTATCAGACTTTTATGAATTCGGCATTGTTTTCTTTGCATAGATTGTTATTTAAAATTACGCTTACATTTCATTTAAATGTCGTCTTCATACAGTGATAACCAGAAAACTTCAAAATAGGAAGACGACTTTAAAGAAGTACTAAGTGTATATGATGGTGTTACAAAAATAGTTTTACTTGACACTTATTAAGTAAAATGGGTCTTTTTACACTGAACACTTTCTGTGTACCATGCTTATTGGACTCTTTAAAGTCATAACTTAAGCCTAAAGGTCATCTTTCTATTCCAGAGTTTTCTGGTTATCACTGTATTCCAGTATTTTATTCTATTTAAACCCTACTGTAGTAACCTAGTACATTGTTGTAACTATATACTTACATAACTATCCATCTTTCTTCAATCAATCTATGTGAATGGTATTAGCTAAATAACTAATGGAAAGACATGTCAAATAAAACTAATTACGCAACATTACGGATATTTATTATAATCCCAATATAACGAGGTATATGCTTTATAAATCTAAATATATACACCTAAAAATAAAGTGCATTTAAAAAAAAATCTTGAAATGATTATATAAAAAAGCCTAAAAAAGGACGGGTGGATTTTTGGTAATGTCAATTTGGTAATGACAATTTGGTAATGATAATTTGGTAATGCAAATTTGGTAAGGTGACAATTTGGTAACGACAATTTGGTAATGACAATTTGGTAAGCTCACAAAAGTGACAATTTGGTAATGACAATTTGGTAAGCTCACAAAAGTGACAATTTGGTAATGACAAATTGGTAACTGCAAAAAAATGACAATTTGGTAACGTCATAAAAGTGACAATTTGGTAATGACAATTTGGTAAGCTCACAAAAGTGACAATTTGGTAATGACAAATTGGTAACTACAAAGAAGTGACAATTTGGTAATGACAAATTGGTAACGTCATAAAAGTGACAATTTGGTAATGACAATTTGGTAAGCTCACAAAAGTGACAATTTGGTAATGACAATATGGTAACTACAAAAAAGTGACAATTTGGTAATAACATCTTGGTTACTATAAAAAAGTGACAATTTGTTGATAAAAGTTAAATTTAATTCAATTTAATGTTTAATAATTTGCTGTTTCTCACATTATTTAGGGTTAGGTTAGGTTAAGACAATTTCTGGGCCGAGCGCTGCGGCCTATTAAAAGTTTAATAATATGCTGTTTCTCTCATTATTTTGGGTTAGGTTAGGTTAGGTTAAGCCAATTTATGGGGCGACAGCTGCGGCTAGGGTGGGCTACGGGGCCGAGCGCTGCAGGCTATTAAATGTTAAACTATGTGCTGTTTCTCACGTTATTTTGGGTTAGGTTAGGTTAAGACAATTTATGAGCCGAGCGCTGCGGCTAGGATGGGCTAGGGGCCAAGCACTGCATCCTCTTAAATGTTAAATGTTGATTATAAACTACATATAAAAAGTAACATTTATAACATTGACATACATAAAGTGCGTTCTTGTTGTAGTATTTAAATCCTTCTGAATCTTGTAACATTTTGCCACCCCTAGAAGGGGTAATGAATAAGTACGCAGTATATGACACAAGTGCAGGTTGAAACGTTGTTTTTAGAAAATATTGCGAATCTTACAATTATTTTTGGCGCATTTCTTTTGTGGAGAAATAAAAGATTCCTAGAATCAATTATCTTCAATTGAATATAAAACTAAAAATTAGACAATTTTACATAATGTCACTTTTATTTCGTTTAACAAATTGTCACTTTTATGACGTTCCCAAATTTTTAACACCAAATTGTCACTTGTTTGTTGTTATCAATTTGTCATTACCAAATTGTCACTTTTGTAAGCTTACCAAATTGTCATTACCAAATTGTCGTTACCAAATTGTCACCTTACCAAATTGTCATTACCAAATTGTCATTACCAAATTGACATTACCAAAAATCAACCCATCCTAAAAAAGTTCTCAAAAAAATATAGAAGTAAAAACAATTTAGGAATTTCGTAGCACAAACGTCATCGATCAAGAATACCAGAAAATATTTTATTGCAGTTTTTTTAATGAAATAAATTGCGAAACTTCTCAAATATCATATACATTATGTAAAGGGAATAAGATATTTACCAACTGTCATGTTTTTTGTTTTTTGTTTTTTATCCATATTTTGATTTATTCCTGAACACTAAGACTTATTTTTGTCTGTTATAGTGAGTATTGAATTTCTCAGAGACTATGAAATGTCGTCTTTTAGCTGCCTGAAAATGATCAAAATTTGCAATGGTCCTTTACATGGCAATACAAAAAAGAATACGATTGTAATGACGACCTGAAACTCTAAATGTTCTAATTAAGGTATTACATGTGTACTGTGTAAACCGAAACTGAGTTCTTGCCACAAACTCAAATTTTCTCTTCCCTTTTACTTTGCTAAATAATGTAAATCTTAAACATTTCAAAAATATTTGAGCTAACATAGTTTATAATTCTAAATATTGTAAAGTTGTAAATATTATGGTTTACGGCATCGTTGTGCAAAGATATTGGGATACAAATCTGAGTTTTTGACAAGAACTTACTTCCTTTCCAAAGAACCATAAAAAAAATAAAGAAAACAAAGCATGTTTGCGTTACACAATACCTGTATTTTCAAATTTATTTAAACAAATTTAAACTACACCATTTATATATGTATTTATATCTTTATAATGTAAATGTAAAAATCATTTTATATATTTCTCAATGATACAAAGTCGTCTTCCTATTCCACAGTTTTAAAAGTCTCATTGTTAAAAATCATGAGAGTGACTGTTAACTTTTGTTAAATTTGATAGAGCCTGGGCCTAACACTTTTTACGTTTTTTATTGTGAAAAAGATTTCTCAATTTCTTGCATATATTGGGAACTCTTCATATAAAGAGTTAGATTAAGTTTTGCTGACAGTCCCTTTTATAAAGTTTGTTTAACTATGAAGGACCGTGTTTAATCAATTCCAATATTAAATATTTATTTCTATAATAAAACTAATATTGGACAATTGGAATATTTACACTTCTACCGTGTAATAAATACGAATAAATACATTATTCAAATAAGCTCATTAATTACAGGGAATTTCGTGGATTTTTGGATCTTGTTAATATTTAGAAATTTAGATCTCTTTCAAGTCCAAATTGTACTATCATGATGTTTGGTTTAAAGCCTCAAACTTCCATTATATCCTTTCCACAAGATGGTGGTTAAGTTAAGCTGCGCAGAGTGCCTCACATGCTTCTTTGGTTTCAAACCAGTTTCCAGCTGTTGAGCGACCACAGCCACCGAACTTAAACTGGAGACACTGTTTGGTGGTGATGTTGTAGTACCAGAAGGGTGTTTCTTCGCGACAACGAGTCCGCTTTATAAACTCCTGGCATACGCTGGCATCTATAGTTATTCATCTTTATTAGTTGAGGTGAAAATGTCGTCAAAAAAGTAAATAGAAAAATAATTCCCATCGCAAAAGAGTTTGTATTTCATTATTTATAAATGTTTTTTTTCTTGATTTAAATTATCATTATTGAAGGGTGATCCAAGGAGAAATGGGCAACAATTTAATTTGGTTTTTTAAACTTTTAGGTTTCGGAGTTTTAAAGACCACAAAAATCAATGAACTATCAACTTGCAAACTTTTAGAATTAACAATTTTGAAAGTTAACATATTTCTGTGGGACCTTTTAAAAAAGCCAACAAAAACCTTAAAGTCTATAAAAAAGTAATTGTCGTTTACTACCTCGAAGTATGTGCTAGTTATGCTCTTTCATAAGTTAAGAATATTAAAAAATTGTGTAGTTTTTTAGAAAATTATAATATTGACTGCTTTCAAATACCTTTCTCTGCATTTGCCAACTCAATTGGATGCTCTTCAGACTTTGGGAGACGAAAACCTGCTGTGTTGGCTGATGAATCATCATGGGGAATAATATTTTTGGCTTTACGGGGAGATCGTTCATTTTCAACAATAATAGCATCATCGGTTTCCACTTCTGAATCAGGTAAAGGTAATTTAAACCCTGCCTTCTTCAGAACTGAATTGTCTCTAGGAATATCAGACAGGGCTCTTCCTTCCTCAGGGCCTGCTTCAATAACTACAAAATCATCAGGCTTTAGCAGCTTGAACCCAGCTTGACCAGATTCAGAAGTATCTCTAGGAATCTCTGAATCTATACTTCTCCCAGAATCCTCTCTTACGCCTCCAGCTTCAATAAAAGCAACACCAGCAAGACTTCTTTCGGAATCTTCTCTTTCTTCTTCAGCTTCAACAACAACAGCATCATCTGGCCGCAGAAGTTTGAATCCAGCTTGGCCAGGGGCAGACGTATCTCTGGGAACATCAGAAAGACTTCTTCCAGAATTTTCTCTTTCCTCTCCAGCTTCAACAACAACAACATCATCTGGCTTCAGAAGTTTGAATCCAGCTTGGCCAGGGGCAGATGTATCTCTGGGAACATCGGAAAGACTTCTTCCAGAATTTTCTCTTTCTCCTTCAGCTTCAACAACAACAACATCATCTGGCCGCAGAAGTTTGAATCCAGCTTGGCCAGTGGCAGATGTATCTCTGGGAACATCAAAAAGACTTCTTCCAGAATTTTCTCTTTCCTCTCCAGCTTCAACAACAACAACATCATCTGGCTTCAGAAGTTTGAATCCAGCTTGGCCAGGGGCAGACGTATCTCTGGGAATATCGGAAAGACTTCTTCCAGAATTTTCTCTTTTCTCTCCAGCTTCAAGAACTATAAAATCGTCAGACTTTAGAAGTTTGAATCCAGCTTGACCAATTGCTGAGGTATCTCTGGGTATATCTGCTCCACTATCAACGTTTTCATCTTCTGGCAGCGGAAGTCTAAAACAACATATTTTAAACAGTTAAACTATTGATTCCACCACCACAAGCAAATTTGTGGTGCCAACATTTGTTTTAGGTTAGAGCGATATTTTCCCCAACAATGTACAATTTATTTTTGCACCAACTTATTAGTAGTTGCATATTTGGCACTTGTTTGTACTTTATTGACATGCAATGGAAACCCTTTTTGCAATACTTATATTTTCAGACTTTATCATGATAAGTCTAAAATACTGTATTAAAGCAACATATATACCTGAATCCTGCTTGATCCAGGCCTGACTGATCTCTAGGGATATCTTCGAATCCATCCTCGGAGTTATTGAACTCTTCAACCTCCACAATAACAGCTCCTGCCTCCTCATCAACTACACCAGGAAGAGGCAGCCTAGAATGAATTCATATAATTAAAGACATATTTTATCCTTAGAAATAATTATTGATTGTAACAACCTGTACTAGGGTTTCCACCGAAATTCTGGTTTTCATATAGAAATTATCCAGAATTTTTTCCATTTCCATATTGGAAAAGTTTTCAGGATTCCGAAACAATTTTATTCACCATAAACCGGAAATTTCCGGAACCATGATCGGAAATTTTAGAAAGTTACGAAATAATTCTGAAAAAGGGGAAAGACCAACCGGTCCCGGCCCTTTCTCTAAGTTACGGCCCTAAAAATGCGCACTGCAACATGATATAGAAAACAGTAAAAAAAACAAATTGATGGTCATAATGATTACATTAGTGGTTAACCTTTTATTAGTCCAAACTACATCTACATGCACCAATAAACTGTTTAAAATGCAGTTTTCATTATTAAAGATGAGCATCGTTTTTCGGTTAGATTTTCATATTTTTACAAGCTTAAGAGGCTCCACAAACAATATGAGATAATTATCACATTTTTAAAGAAACATGACAGTTGGTGAATAATTTAAAATGTCTTCCTTCATGCTTACTTGAGATAATTATAAGAATATTTAATGGTAATTATATTATAGTAAAATTGATTTCATAGTAAAATATACTTTAGTAAAAGATTTGATTGAACGGAACAAGATGCAAAAAGTCTTTAATAACTATTACAGTATAGGGCAGAAGACATTCCAAATTATTTACCAACTGTTATGTTTCGTGGGACACCTTGTATATTTTCTTTACAATTTCTAAAAGGAATAAAAAAAAACAAGGCCCATCTTTAAATGCATGACCAAGAAGCGAATACTTAATATATATTGCAAGTAATTATTTTTATACATAACATTGCGTAAAGATTTACAAAATTTAGATGTAGATATTTCACTAGGAGTTAAACTTTATACTTCTTCTATCCAAGGAATCGAAGGGGTCAAAGCTCACGCAGTACGGTTTATATTATATATGTGCAGTACGTGAGGTATTGAAAAGCTTTCGAAATAACCACCAAACTGCAGTGTTAGAAAAAAGGGGATTGACAATTTAAATTAAATTCAATTAGAAAAATTCGAATTGTTAAGAAAAAGATTTGAGCCAAGAAATGTCCAATAACCCTGCACAAACAAATTGTTTTTCTTTGCAAATTTTTAGTTTGTTGGTTTCTTTGTATTTTAGTTAGTTTATTTGTATCCAATTAACGTTAAGCTGCTGAACCGATTGGGGACCCAACTTTTTGTGGCAACTCACATGACCCCATGGAAAGGCTAAGGCTAGACGAAATTGACAAATTTTGCCAAGAAAAAAATGACGATTTTACGAGTTTTGAAAATCTTAACAGAAAAACCAGCGAAAAGTTTTTGTTTTTGTTCGGAGTACGATTAATCAATGTCAGCTTGAAAATCAACAATCATAACTAAGATTGTAAATGTTTTTGGATTCAAGATGACGGAACGGATCAATCTTTTATCAATATATTCTACCTGAACCCTGCTTGTCCTGCCTCACTTCTATCCTCAGGACTTTCAACCAGAAACTTTCCTTCTCTGTCCTCTCTAGCACCCTCCAGGACAACTGCATCCAGTAGCCTGTCCTCTCCATCAGCCTCGAGGACAACAAAGTCCTGAGGGAAAGAGGACACTGCTCCGAACAATAAAACCAGGACTAGAGTAAACAAATATTAATAAAACCAAGACTAGAGTAAACAAATACTATTAAAACCAGGATAGAGTAAACAAATATTAATAAAACCAGGACTACAGTAAAAAAATATTAATAAAACCAGTATAGAGTAAACAAATATTAATAAAACCAGGACAAGAGTAAACAAATATTAATAAAGCCAGGACTAGAGTAAACAAACATAAAAAAATCAGGACTAGAGTAAACAAATACTATTAAAACCAGGACAAGAGTAAACAAATATTATAAAACCAGGATAGAGTAAACAAATATTAATAAAACCAGGACTAGAGTAGACAAATATTAATAAACCAGGACTACAGTGAACAAATATTAATAAAACCAGGACTATATAGAGTAAACAAATATTAATAAAATCAGGACTAGAGTAAACAAATATTAATGAACCAGGACTAGAGTAAACAAACATTGATAAAAGCAGGACTAAAGTAAACAATACTATTAAAACCAGGACTAAAGTAAACAAATATTAATAAACCAAGACTAGAGAAAACAAATATTAGTAAACCAGGACTAGAGTAAACAAATATTAATAAACCTGGACTAGAGTAAACAAATATTGATAAAAACAGGACAAGTGTAAACAAAGATTAATTAAACAGGATTACAGTAACCAAATATAAATAAAACCAGGACAAGATTAAAAGAATATTTTGGAATCAATGATTAACTAGTACAAACGTCGTACCCACAAACATCGAACAGTACAAAAGACGGACCAGTGCAAACGTCAGACCAGTACAAACGTCGGAGTCGGACTAAGGACATTTTTTTTTTGAATTTTAAGATTTTTTAAAGGTTATTTCATTTTAATAAAATCTACCAAAAGTTACTGAGTTCTTGTCACTATCTCAAATATTCTCATCCCTAAATCTTTGCCACCTGGTAATGGAATTAATCTTTAATACTTTCAAACTTAAATTGTTTGATCTTATAGATTTCGTAGTTTGAAATATTACAGGTTATACGACATCGGGTTGCAAAGATTTAAGCATATTGAAACATTAGAGTTTGTGACAATTGAACTCAACTCCTTTTTGGTCTGTTGTTTTATACCCTATATAGTGCTACCTTGACGTTTATTGGATACAAACAAACAAACAGACAGACAGACAAGCCAAATCAAAGGATGAGATTTTATTCGCTTGACTTTGATTTTTATCATAATAAGTGAGTGATTTTTATCATAATAAGTGAGTGATTTTTATTTATTTCTTATAGCAATGATCTTTTTTCAAAATCAACCAAAATCCGACGTTTTTCCTTATAAATGTACCTGTCTGACGTTTGTACTGGTCCGACGTTTTTACGAGTCCGACGTTTCTCTCAATCTGACGTTTGTACCAGTCCGACGTTTGTACTGTCCGACCTTTGTAGCGTCCGACTTTAGTGGGTCCGACGTTTGTACTGGTACCATAAACTATTAACATTTTCAGCCTTTTAGACTGATAATGATATCTGATAATTATTAAAGGGAATGTGAACATAAGTTTCAAGAATCACAGACCGGATTCACAACGGTGCCCTTTAAACCTTTATTTGTCTAAAAAGATCAAGATATTCTGGTTTATTTAAAGTATAACAGCACGTGCGGTATAAAATAAATCTTAAATGTTATTTTAAACTTAATATGAATAACTGTACAAATGTGTCTTCGTCGAAGAAAATTAAGATTAAAAAATATTTTAGTTGCTAACGGAATTATGCAGCTGAGACAAGGAAGGAAGTGGACACAATTGATATACAATGAAACCCTTAATAACGAATACATCGGAAGAATTTATCAAATGTCGTCTTGACAACTTTTCAATGAGTTTTATACTATATTTCGTAAATTTCAGTATTTGCGAAAATAAATAAATATGAGGGAACAGTTTTAAAGAGTTCTATATAATCATTTAATTAAAAAACTAAATATCGGCAACATTCCATTATCAGAAAGTGTAGAATACGACATTTGATCAATTCTTTCGATGTATTCGTTCTTAAGGGTTTCACTCTACGAAATTACTTGTACGACTTTGTGACCTCGTAGCTTCTCTAGTTTTGATATTACGCACAAGTATGAGAGGTACCGATTTTACAGATTAGAAATTCAATTTTTTTTTCTTTTCAATGGCTCATCAAAAAGAGGAGTTTGATTTAAAAATATAAGATTTCAATCTTACTTGAAATATACTTTAGCTTAAAGTGAACAGTTTTTTTTTCATTTTGATAATTTTAAAGCTGTTGAAAAAAAAAATTATATACAGTTAATAACTAACCTATCTGGCCGTTCATGTTTGTAGAACTGAATGTGAAGTAAAGAATAAATGTTGCCGTGTGCTTTGCGGAATTCAGAAGCTTATTCAGCGAAAAATAGTAATCACAAAAATATTTAAAATAACTTTTTTGACATAAAAATACGCTTTTTTATCCTTGTCTTAAAAATATTAAAAGAGGAAGAATAATATTCCGATAAAAATGGATTTCCCAAAGTTACGGTAGCAAAAAAACGTCAGGGACATCCAAACGAGGGAAGCATACATACATTTTATTTCATAAAATCATTTGTTTTATCTTAATACGTGTGCCTCTTCATGATCTAAAATTTTAAGGATACCCCTCCCCCCTGTAGCCTGCGAATTGTTCCCCCTGAAGTCCAGTTATATACACGCATGAGTATATATTGCATTCTGATTCTTTCAAGGTTACGCAGAGGACTTATTGTATAGGCTTTGTCAAGCGTATTCATCAATTAACCCTATCAGGTTCTGGGTAGATGTGACATTAGAGGGGGGGGGGGGGGAAAGGTCTGTTTTAATAATTTTATTCAAGAAGGGATTTTATCTTAAAGAAACAATGCACGATCTTTTGAATTTCTAAGAAGTGTTGATTTTTTACACTTAAAAGACTTTAAGACTGGTAAAACTATTTGCTTTGTAACAACATCAAATACACTTAAGTATTGCATTAATGTCTTTTTTCTATTCCACCCTTTTCTGGTTCTCACTATACAAGAATAGGACAAAATAAACTTGCAATTTACTCAAATGCAAAAATTTCAAGTATTCTGTGGTTTCATCTTATGTTGTTCATCGTTTTATTGATAGTTTTTTAAATTAATAAAACTTAAGATTTCAAAGCTGTTTTTTCTTCAAGTTTGCTTTTATTAAACTGTACAATAATATTTTAATCCTAAAAAATGAAAAAAAGATACAAAACCGATCGTTACACCATGTTGATTTTTTGGATCGTTTTTTTCGCATATATGTTCTGAGCCAACGATTAAAAAATTTGGCAAGAGCCGTATTTCATTAAACCTGACTTTATAACCCCATCTTCGACCCAACTCTGACGACAGCTTGTAAGTTGTGTCACATGATTATCAGTTGCAAGATCTTCGGCTCGATTGAAGGAGTTAAGCTAAAAGAAAATAAAACAGACCCAGAGCTGAAAACTTTAGAATGTGATATCCTTAATCCCGATCTGTTAATTAATCTGGAGATTAAATTAATGAGGCGAACAAGCAATATTTAATCTGGAGATTAAGAAAAAGAGTGGATCAAGCATTAATCCCGATATCCACCATTCAAAAGTTCCCAGCTCTGGTTGGTTTAAGTGGAAAATAAGGCTCAGTGTTGAGCCTTGTTCTCATAAAACCCGGAATGCGCCAATTCCTTCCATGAAAATCCACAAAATGTGATACCGGTTTTTTAAACTCAACTCTGTGGAAAATAAGATGCAGCTTGAATCCGAAAGCTAAGGCCCAACGACAGCTTAGAACCGAGCCGTATTTTCCCGAATTTTTTAAATCGCGGGCTCTGTCATGGTTTAAATTCATCATAGTGCATGAAAGAAAAGCAAATATTTAGAATACAAATTTTTAAAAATTTCCTTTTCATGCACTATCCTAAATTTTGACCCCGATAGAAAATATATAAAAAACGAGCGAAAAACGAACCAACTGAAGGCGCACATCACTAGTTCGTACAAGGTGTAAGCCTAATTTTACCTATATGAATTTTAACTATATGAATTATGAATAAATACAAATATTTTTTTCACCGAGAGTGTTATCTCACCGTTTCTGAGAAGGGTTAACACATTTATTTAAACAGTAACAAATACAAAACATTTTTACAATAGTTATATAAACAAAACCTTCAGTTGAAAACCCGATACAATGTGTTGGCCACATTAATGATAAACTCAAATATTCGCATATAAAATTTTTATGTTAAAAAGGGTTCAGAGATGGAATTTAAAGATACAATTTTAAGTGGAACCAACCATATTTAAGCCACGGCTTAAATTTAAACTGCCGCAAAAATTCTTTAAATTCGGCCACTGGCTGGTTAAAATTGAAAAATTGTATCGGGAAAAGTTGTTGAATTTGACGATCTGCAAATTTTTTATGTTGGAGTTGACTAAGATGAAATTTTATTAGAAAAACTATGTTGTCTCTTTATATATAAATATATATGTATACATATATATATATACATATACATATATACATATATGTACATATACAAATATACATATATATATATATATATATGTATATATATGTATATGTATATGTATAAACATTTAATTTATTATTTGTTGATATTATCTTTTAAGCAGATAATTAATTACATTACATTTGTCCATTTAAATATTATTAATACAATAATTACAGATTTTTTTAAATGTAACCTTCAAATCTGAATTTTAGAATGAATTTAGTTATCAAACAAATTCCATAATTCGATTCATTCACAATATTACTAAAATTAAAAAAAAATAAGATACAATAGTCGTTTATAATACATTTTATTTGTAAACCCAGTGTTTTAAACATTCTTCGTTATGCATGGTTTTTGTACATGGAGAACCAAAAAACTGTCGAATAGGACATGGCATTTACAAACAATTCCATAGTTTTATTTAATTATAGAATAGTTAGAATCAATCGAAATTTAAACCCCCGTTTTTCTATTCAATGAAATATATTTGTTAATTTAACATTGTATCGTGCAAGGATAAGAAAACTTTATATGAACATCATAGATTGATCAGTAATTAGTGCCCTATCTGTTAAGCTATAATGTATCGGGTCAATCACAAAGAATGAGACTTTATAAACAACAGTACGGAATAATTAGTCTGTAACTGTAAACATGTATCTTTCTTTCAGAAAATTATTTTAAAGACCACACGAAGACTTATTTCTAAAAATCCAATTATAATTTGTAGTGTTTTTAAATAACTTTGGAATAGGAAGACGACATTTCAAAACTACTCAATCGGTTACAATGTTACTGTTGTTACACATGAAGTAGTGACTTATTAAAATAGTTAAGTTAAATGGGGCTACCATAATTAAAAGTTAACTGTTGTATCCCTCCACTGACTAAGGCTTTTAAATGTCGTCAAATTCAATACAAAGACGATATCTTTGGCGCCAAATTATAATTGGCGTTTTTTCATGCACGAGATAAATTTTGATTTTATCACAATGAGTAAGAAATTTTTCGCCTGCGGCACCGTTTATACACTTAAAATGAGGATTTTTTTTATAAAAATAAAATCTTTCAAACTCATCTTCCCCTTCCAATCCCGGCTGGTCATGGTTCACAAAAAATGACCAAATTTCCTAAATCCAGGGGTGTGATGAAAAGTTTGGCCCGTAATAATTTTATTAACCCCCCTTGAAAATATTGTAATAACCACCGGAAGCTCTGAGTTAGAGAAATAAAAATTTGCTATCTCCCTAAATAGTAAATTGGAATCTCTGAATCCTCTAGTTCACGATTACTGAGAAATAATATTAATTTCTAAATGCTAGTTTCTAATTTAGAGACAATTTTTTCTATTACAATATTGGAATCTATGAATGATGGTTCCTACTTTAGAGACAAGTTGTTAGACTACCATATTGGAATCTCTGAGTAATATTTCCTAATTTAGAGACAGATTGTTAGATAACAATATTAGAATCACTGAGTAATATTTCCTAATTTAGAGACAGGATGTTAGATTACAATATTGAAATCTCTAAGTGAAAGTTCTATTGAAGAGACAAGTTGCTAGCTTACAATATTGCAATCTCTAAATGATAGTTCTAATTTAGAAACAATTTTCTAGCTTACAATATTGAAATCTCTAAATGATAGTTAACTTATTTAAAACCATTACTAACGTAATTAGTTACTAGGACATAGTCCTATAAGTGGACAGGACCAGATTGAACCCCACATCCCATTCACCACTGCTATGGTCGGCAGCTCCTGGCTCTTTAAGACTCACAACTGGTGTATTAAGAGATCCCCATGAAAGCAATCAAACTCCTCAAACTTTGTTCCTCAAACTTTTTTTCCAAATTCTTTCCTCAAAATTCTTTCCTAAAATGATCATCCTAGGTTCTTCTCAGTAATCAATTGGATTTAGGCAAATGTTAATAATAATAATAGAAATAACCAGTTGGAGTGCTTAAAATAGCCTAAACCATTACCAAAAATTAAATAAAGCCAGTTTAAGTTTACATATTAACAATTATTATGAGCCGATGACAGACCATATTTTCTTTTTTCCAAAAGGTCCAAACTGATGGTACTCTGAAGTGGTCGGAGCAGATCACCTGCACAAACAACACGTCGTTAGCTTTATTACATTGTATAGTTCAAAACCTATTAATATTCTAAATTTGGTTTTATGAAAAATTTAAATAATTAAAAAACAAAAATAAGATAAAATAAAATTTAAAAAAAAAAAATATAATAAAAGTGCCCCTTGGCACTGGACCCATGCAAGGGTCCATTAAGAACATATAATCACCGACCATGCCGCAATGCAAAAGCGATTCTGCTCCAACCCCTACGGACCAAATACATTAAAATAATTTTAAAATAAAATTTAAAATTACCATGAATATATTAATTCAAAATCCAACTAATCCTTGGGTTCACATATACATTGATCGGTTTAAAAACCAAGCTTTGTTCTCATTTTTCTCACAGTAAATATCATTTGTTCTAGTTTTCTTCCTGGTACCTCTATGGGTGAAAAATATTTTTCCTGGTCTATATTGCAGGCTTTGAATGCTCTACCAACATATTTATGTCTATTAGACACCTTGTCGAACACTGTTTTGGATAAAAATGATAGTTCTAATTTAGAAACAATTTGCTAGCTTACAATATTGAAATCTCTAAATGATAGTTCTAATTTAGAGACAAGTTTCTAGCTTACAATATTGAAATCTCTAAATGATAGTTCTAATTAAGAAACAAGTTTCTAGCTTACAATATTGGAATCTCTAAATGATAGTTCTAATTAAGAAACAAGTTTCTAGCTTACAATATTGGAATCTCTAAATGATAGTTCTAATTAAGAAACAAGTTTCTAGCTTACAATATTGAAATCTCTAAATGATAGTTCTAATTAAGAGACAAGTTTCTAGCTTACAATATTGGAATCTCTAAATGATAGTTCTAATTAAGAGACAAGCTATTAGATTACAATATTGGAATCTCTAAATGATAGTTCTAATTAAGAAACAAGTTTCTAGCTTACAATATTGAAATCTCTGAATGATAGTTCTAATTAAGAGACAAGTTGCTAGCTTACAATATTGCAATCTCTAAATGATAGTTCTAATTAAGAGACAAGTTTCTAGCTTACAATATTGAAATCTCTAAATGATAGTTCTAATTAAGAGACAAGTTGCTAGCTTACAATATTGGAATCTCTAAATGATAGTTCTAATTAAGAGACAAGTTTCTAGCTTACAATATTGGAATCTCTAAATGATAGTTCTAATTAAGAGACAAGTTACTAGCTTACAATATTGCAATCTCTAAATGATAGTTCTAGTTAAGAGACAAGTTTCTAGCTTACAATATTGCAATCTCTAAATGCTAGTTCTAATTAAGAGACAAGTTGCTAACTTACAATATTGCAATCTCTAAATGATAGTTCTAATTAAGAGAGAAGTTGCTAGCTTACAATATTGAAATCTCTGAATGATAGTTCTAATTAAGAGACAAGTTGTTAGATTACAATATTGAAATCTCTGAATGATAGTTCTAGTTAAGAGACAAGTTTCTAGCTTACAATATTGCAATCTCTAAATGATAGTTCTAATTAAGAGACAAGTTGCTAGCTTACAATATTGCAATCTCTAAATGATAGTTCTAAATAAGAGACAAGTTACTAGCTTACAATATTGAAATCTCTAAATGCTAGTTCTAATTAAGAGACAAGTTTCTAGCTTACAATATTGCAATCTCTAAATGATAGTTCTAATTAAGAGACAAGTTACTAGCTTACAATATTGCAATCTCTAAATGATAGTTCTAATTAAGAGACAAGTTTCTAGCTTACAATATTGGAATCTCTAAATGATAGTTCTAATTAAGAGACAAGTTTCTAGCTTACAATATTGGAATCTCTAAATGATAGTTCTAATTAAGAGACAAGTTTCTAGCTTAATCTCTAAATGATAGTTCTAATTAAGAGACAAGTTTCTAGCTTACAATATTGGAATCTCTGTAATTTGCAATTCACAAACATTTCCATTTATTTGTGTATAAGGGAATCACATGGCTTCACTGAAACCACGAATAATGCATTTCTCATGCGTAGAATCATTAAAAAATCTAATTTTTTCAGGTTTATAAAAAAATACAATAAATTCCATAAATATAGCGAATTTACGAAACAAAATTACAACAGAAAAATTGTGTTTTAATTTTAAGATCAAATGAAAGTATTCTGTTTCTTAGCTTCAAATTCCCTGCCCCTTAGTTTACTCACGATTGGAATTCTTAAATTTTCAGTTTTATCTTCTTATATGCCCTGTCTTTTATTTCCTTTTGTCTGTGTTATCTTGGTTTTATGGTTATGGTTTGTTCTCTCTCGTTCTCTATTAGCGGCCCCCAAATTCCTGTTGTCTGCTGTCTTCTGTTTTCTGTTTTCTGTTTTCTGTTTTCTGTTTTCTGGTTTCCGTTTTCTGTTTTCCGTTTTCTGTTTTCTGTTTTCTGTTTTCTGTTTCTATGGTTGCACTGGAGGATCAATAAGAGCGTTTAACGGATCTATTTCTCCAAATGAATTAAACAATCCAGTTTTCTCCCAAACATAGTTCACCTAAAAAAACAATAAGATTATCTGAAAAGTTTTCCAAATAAAAAAGACAATTTCTACATGGTAAGTAAAAAAAATTGTCGATGTTTTAGAAAAAATTTCAAAAGTTTTGTTTTGATAAGTTTTAGGCAAAAAAAAAAATCGTTGAGAAAATGTTTTTTCTATGCTTTCCAATATATCATAAAAATTCATCCAAAATTGAATTAGATATAACAAAAATTGTAAGCCAATTATTTGCATTTTAGAAGTCATCACAGTTATAAGGCTATACATTTTTAATTAAATTAAATTTTTAATGAATTTTAATGAAATTTTGCGGGAAAAAGATAAAACATTTAACCAATGATTTTTGGAAAAATGTTATTTTTTCAAAAATAACTTTGTTTTGCAGACTTTTTTGAATGTTCCAAAAATATTTTTTATTTTTTATCTTTTGTATGCCTGAAATCCAAACAGAACAAAAATTCAAAAAATGTTGCTCAAAATATCGATAATTCTGCTTGTGACAAGCAATGAAAATTGTTTGTTTCGACCTCAAATCAAAGATGATTTATGGCACAAACTACGTAGAAAAATGTTCAACCTTTTTTCTAAAAAAAATAAAACAATTGCACGCACATCTGACCCTTAAGTAAAAGTAAATTTAACCTAAAGTCTGACCGCGTCAACCTTGTTGCACCGGGTAGTCCTATTGAGTGTCTGCTTTATTTACCCAATGTCCGGGCGATACAGTACAAACTGGGACCGGAAAGGTTGACCCGGCTCGGAAATTCAAAAGTACTACGGCTGCCCGTGATTGAATAATTGGCCTTTTTTCAACGTTTCTTGTCTTTAAACCTTGATTACAGATCAATGAGTCTGAGTATTAGCTAAGCTTGACTGACAACTGCTAATAAACTTCGATCAGCCGAAAAATCCGCATTTACAATGTTTATTCTCACCATGAGTTTCCTACTGGATCTATACAGAGTTTGACTTTTCTGCCTGAACCTGCTTATTTGCCGCATAACCTCAGCCAGCTAGGAAAAATAAAACATTTTCATACGATGAGAACCAGAAACCTGTGAAATAGGAAGACGACGTTCGGTCCAAGTTATGTTTTTAAATATTCCAAAACATGAGACACGGCGATTGTGCAGTGTACAGAGATCCATTTCAATTAAAAAGTTGATCGATTTTCAAGCTACTGATAAAACTATTTACTTAATAACTACAATAATGACAACTTTGATGTATTTAATATTCAACAGTTTTATAGGTCTTCCTGTAATGTAATTAATTTGCTTATTTTACTAATGCAAAAATATTAATTTTGATACTTAATTAATTTCAAATCCATATAAAAGTAGTGGTTATAAAAGACTGAATATAAATTTACTAACAAAACAATCAAAAGCCAACAATTTGAAATTTTCAATGTTTGATAAAACTGGGAAGATTGTGATAAGGAGGATTAAAGGAAGAAAAGTAAATAAAATACAAATAATAAATAAATAAAACAACTACATAGTTTGGTGTGTGGGGGGAAAAGACACAAAACATTAAAACCACACAAAAGCAAACTTAATTCTAGTTTTCAATGTCCTTTGCATACAATTTTTGCAACGTTTGCAACGTCTAATATTTAACATTTCTGAGACTGAATTTAAAGAATTTGAGCTGCGTTGCTGAACTACCTGCTGCAAGTTCAAATTTAAAGTGCCGATTCAAAGTTAAAGAAAAATTAAGGATTTGAATCCATGGTTTGAATTTGAACCAGCCATAGGTAGTTTAGTCAGGTTTACACCTGGCTTAAATTCTTTAATTTTGAAATTTACCGCTGTTAGTAGATCGTCATGTTCAGGGTAATGTTCTTCTTCCAGTTTAACCCTAAACACAATTATAATTATTTAGTTCTTTTCTTCAAATATTATAAAATTGCAGATATATTAAAAGGGGGGTTTTGTAAATAAAGTTAAGTGTATTGTATATACATTCTCAGAGATCTTACTCGCAGCCGTTTTTCCCAAAGTTCTGTGATTTAACAAATGACAAGTCCAGAAATTGTCAACTAAATATCTGCTGTCTAGTTAGAGTCATGATTTGTTTACAGGGAGTGACCGGCTATGTAAGGTAGTTGAACTGAGTATGCAGTGTTGTGGAAAACTTCTTTAGGATTCATTTGAGACGTATTTCACTTTTTAAAAGTCTGTAAATCCTGAGTTTGAGATCAAGTTCGACGTTCAAAACTCCTGATTTGGGGGTGGATACGCTTTCAGAATTAGTTTTTTAAAAATTATTAATTAACAACGACATAAAATATAAAAATATTCTACAATAAACTACAGACGTCATGTTTAGGAACATTTTGAGAAAATGAAAATTAATCTTATCATCGAAAATAAGTAATCTTGTTCAATTATAAGTTTCTATTATCTCATTATTCTAGTTTCTCGTTATTCACAAAGATGTTCGCAGATTTTCTATAATCATTATTGAAAAGACGACATTTAAAGAATTTGAAGAAATCTGCGAATAAATTCAAAGAAAATTAGAAATTCAATATAAGAATGAAAACGAGATAATCGATTTTAGCATTGATTTATTGACAAATTTCTTTTGTGAAATATGTTCCTAGCCATCTAATTAGGTTTCTGTATAATTTTTACTTTATTTTTCGCTGTCGTTATTTAATAATTAAAAAAAAAACTAATTCTGAAACCGTATCCACCCCCAAATCAGGAGTTTTGAATGTCGAATTTGCGCTCAAACTCAGGATTTACAGATCTTTAAAAGTTTAATATGTCTCAAATGAATCCTAAAGAAGTTTTCGACAACACTGCATACTCAGTTCAATTACCTTACATTCTCCCTTTAACTACGTCTCGTCTCCGGCTAAACTCATTGATTCAATAGATTGAATTCAGGATGAATTGAGTGATGTAGAGATTAGCTCTATCTCAACCAATAGTTCCAGACTCTAAAATTGAAGAGATATCCGTCTCGATTAATGGAATGAAAAAAACTGACCTTATTGTTAGTTTCCCAATTTCCTCCAGGTGAGGACAAGTCTCACTAATCAAGTTTTGCTTTCTATAATTTTTGACGATAATAATGGTAAAATTCATACCCAGCTCTGTCTGTAAATTAAACTTTCCCCATTTATGTTTAAATTTGGCTTCTCTGTCTGGGTGTCTGTCTGTTTGTTTGTATCCAATAAACGTCAAAACGGCTGAACCAATCGGGCCCACATTTTTTGTGGGACATCACGTGACCAATGGGAAGGTTTATGAATGATAAAAATTTTAAAAAATGTTTTTTAAAGGTTTTTAATTTTGTGAAAAAATTCTTGAAAATCCGCGAATTCTTTTTTTAAAATTCGAAACATTTTTTTCTTCTTTGTTTTAAAATGTAAACAAAAAGAACATGTTCACAATTTAAATAGAAGATGAGCGCAAAGCGCCCTAAAAGCCTAGTAAAATAAAATTCAACTTGGAAGTTTTAAACCAGGCTAACAACATTCACATGATTCAACCAAGTTCCCCAATTACAATTTGAGGCAAATCGGCCAAGGGACTCGTGAGTCGTCATGACATCCAACCATTCAAACAAAGAGAGATTACTACTATTAAAAGCAAATAGTTTTCCTGAGTGTATCAACCAAATACTCAGCTGCTTGCATATCAGCTATACATAAAAATGCCTGAAGAAATATAATTGAAACTATTACCAATATTGTATCAATCATAATAATAATAAAAATACTTTAAGTTTAAATAAATGAAAAATGAAAAAGTTTTATAGAATATTGTCATTAAGACTTAAAATATGTTAGATTGAAAAACTTTCAAGGACTAAACACCAAAAAATAATCAATGATAATATTTCCTTTCCTTCATTTTGACCATTTTCTTCATTCTGTTCTTCTTGAGGAGTTGTTCAAACATCTGCTTGGTAAAGTAAACCTAAGAAACAGGAACATATTATATATTTATAAAAAAATATACATATATATAAATAAATTAAAGATTTGTTTTCTGTATATTCGAGACAATAAAGATGGTATGTATGAGGATTAAAGATCTGTATATCTGAGACAATAAATATGGTATGTATGAGGATTAAAGATCTGTATATCCGAGACAATAAATATGGTATGTATGAGGATTAAAGATCTGTATATTTGAGACAATAAAGATGAATAACCTGGTATGTATGAGGATTAAAGATCTGTATATTTATGACAATAAAGATGAATAACCTGGTATGTATGAGGATTAAAGATCTGTATATTTAAGACAATAAAGATGAATAACCTGGTATGTATGAGGATTAAAGATCTATATATATATGAGACAATAAAGATAAATAACCTGGTATAGAGTGTGGTGCTTGGTAACTTTCAGATAAAAATGGCTTCTGGAGTTATTAATGTTTCAGTTTTCGGCTGAATCTAGGTCTGGATCCAGAACCTTAACTCCACAAAACAGTAAGCATGAATCCTGGATCATCAAGATTAATCTTAATCTTGGACTAAGGTATGGAGCGTATGTTAAGAGCAGTTAATCGATTCTGCCAAGGAATGGACGTGAAATTGGCTGTCGAAAAGACAGTGAACAGGACCTCATGGAAGGTGTCACATAATAATCCAAGCCTAGAGGCAGTTCTGGTCGGCAAATACCTAGGCATTGACATTTAAGTTAAAGGTAGAAACCTGTGACCGAATTTAAAGAATTTGAGCGGCAGTTTAAATTCAAGCCGCGGTTTAAATATGGTTGGTTCCACTTAAAATTGTATCAAATGTTTCAAGATTTAAGCCGGCGCTGAATTTAAACCGGGTTTTGGCGGATTTAAACCGCGGCTCAAATTCTTTAAATTCCATCTCTGGTCAGCCAAGAGGAGAAGATGGTGGCAGTTACTCAGAAGTCTGCAAATGCAATTATTGGACTTTCCAAGAATGGTTTTGACAGAGCAGTTGCAGCCCATGCCCTTTGGGAGAGATGTGCAATTCCAGGGGAACTATATTGTTGAGCAGCAATGGTGCTTTCAAAGGGAGTCCTAGAGAATCTATACAGGATTCAACACAAGGTTGCCAGGTACATTCTGCAGCTACCTAAATCCTCGGCAAGAGTTGAAGGGGCCGGAGATGCAAGGTTTATGCAAATGAAAGACATGGTAGGGATAGGGACAAGGATGTTTGTCTGGAATATTCAGACTAAGAAACACAACAAAATCTTTAAAGCATTATGTTGGGGTGTCACTGGTTAGTTGGCCCCAAGAGGTTGCTGAAGAGCAGCTTAAGGGATGTAGTAGTTGGTAATGTACTCTCACAGAAGAGAGAACTATCCTCCTTGGCTTGTATGCCACAACCCCGCAAGTGGTTTAAACTCCAGGATCATTTAAATGACAGTGCAGAATTACGTACCTCTAACAGGATCAGGGTAGGTGATGCAGGTTTGGGTAACAGGAGACCAAACCCTATGGGTAAGTTGTACTCACACTGCCCATATTGTCTCACTAAAGGAGTGGTGACCAAACCAACAGAGCATCACGTAAAAGTATAGTGCGAGAGTGTTGGAAATGACCGAACTCAGTTCAAAATCCCCAATTGTCCAGTAAATTCTCCAGGTTCCAAATTTGCACTATGGAAGTATCATGGGGGAGACAATGAGGGAGTGCCAGAGTTGCTGGAACAAGCCAATCACATTCACTGCATCCTAGATTGTTGGCAGCTCATCATAACATCACTATAACATCCAAGTAGCTGCTGCTTCACATCTCACTCTTGATTGGAGGGTACAGGTACAGGTTGTATGGCTAGTCAGCATACAGTTTTACCTGCCTTGGTTGATTTCCCTTAGAGTAGGGGGAAGGAGGTCAGGGTGCCGGATTGAACTGGTAAGGGAATCAGCACCTGACTGAGACCCTTATTTCGGATGGCGGTCTGGGGATCCCACATTGGGGATCTTTCATGATCTTTTTCTTATCTTATCTTTTGCATGAGGATTTAAGATCTGTATAACTGAGACAATAAAGATGAATAACTTGGTATGTATGAGGATTAAAGATCTATAATGCATGAGACAATAAAGATGAATAATCTGGTATGTATAAGGATTAAAGATCTATATATATGTGAGACAATAAAGATGAATAATCTGGTATGTATAAGGATTAAAGATCTACATATATGTAAGACAATAAAGATGAATAACCTGGTATGCATGAGGATTAAACATCTATGTATATGAGACAATAAATATGAATAACCTGGTAAGTATAAGGATTAAAGATCGGTATATTTAAGACAATAAAGATTAATAACCTGGTATGTATGAGGATTAAAGATCTATAATATATGAGACAATAAAGATGAATAACCTGGTATTATAAGGATTAAAGATCTGCATATTTATGACAATAAAGATGAATAACCTGGTATGTATGAGGATTAAAGATTTGTATGATGTTAGTTGTACATATTGTAGGGATCAATATTTCCTCCAGATTCACAGCTGATTCCCACAACCATTCAAATGCTTCCTGAACACATTTTATTAGTATTATTAAACAAAACTTCTGGGGGACTTTAATCCCCGTATGAAGCCACGCCCATCAGTACTTCCCCTCACGATACGTGTACAATCACGCCTGGGGTCGTCTGTTTGTAAACCGCCTAGGGCATGTTCTATTATTGAACCCTGGATGTAAGCGTACCGGGTGCTGGGATTATCGGGAACCTGAGTAGACCGAGCCCCAAGGTTGACATCCACCAACCCACCCACCCCTAACTGGGCAACATGCCCTATACAAGGGATGGTTTGTTTCTATGTAAAATCAGCATGGTCTTTATTGATTGCTTTATCTTTATCTGGCATATGACAATTCCCCACTATTATGGACATTTATAAGCCATGTTTGTAATAATAACAATAAAAACAATAACAATAACAATAACAATAACAATAACAATAACAATAACAATAACAATAACAATAACAATAACAATAACAATAACAATAACAATAACAATAAAATAATCATCTGAGATTTCAGACTTGAGCTCCCTTCTATTTATGTTCCAATGAATTAACCCAGTTTAGAGTTAAGTGTAAATCCAGGGGTGGAAGTCATACCTATTGCGGTCTGACATATAATGTTCTAAAATTCCAATTAAATGATAATTGCGATTACAAACTTAAACTATTTAAAGTGTTGATAATCATAATTATAATGACCGTTTTTCATAGAACCTATATCTCTTTCATACTCCATAAAGCTTTTTTTTTTACTTTTTTTTAACATTACAAATAAATCTATAATTTTTATTTCTAAAAGTTGTTAGTTCATCGTCGAAAAATACTAACAATCCACCGCTAATTTATATTAAATATAGTGTTAACAATAAATATGTAACTTTCATTATCCTTTCCTTTCCGTTTCCTTTTATTTATATTTTTATATTTTTATTAGAATTGGGGGGAAATATTCCCACAACCTCTACTTTTTTTTTTAAATATTTTCTCCTGAAACACTTTATTTTTTATGTTATTGTTATATTTCATAAATTAATAATTTTTTACTTACTTTTAACTTTTACTTTATTTCATACCAGGAAAAATATATAAATTAAAAATTAAAATTAACCATAATCTGGTCTTTGAAAAAAATCAACTGCATGACGATACATGAGAATATCCTAAATCATGATCTTCAATCAATTTGGTAAATTTAGATACAATTTGGTTAATTGTAGATACAATTTGGTAAATTATAGATACAATTTGATAAATTATAGATACAATTTGGTAAATTATAGATACAATTTGGTAAATTATAGATACAATTTGGTAAATCATAGATACAATTTGGTAAATTATAGCAATTTGGTAAATAATAGATACAATTATGACTAACCTTCGTTAGATAATTACCCACAGATACAGTCTTGAGTTTAAGTAGATCAAGTTTAGGTGTCAGGAATCCTTGGGAGATGTTGAGAGGGGCCCCGCTTACATCAACCTAAAGAGACGTGTATTAACTTTTCTAATTGCAGCAGCCCCCTCCACCCCTGAATACCCTTAGCATCTGAAGGAGCCTCTTACATTAATTTCACAATATGGGGATAATTTCTCCCGTGTACGGTACTGTTTTCCTCTCCAAAGTCTGTATGTATACTGTACACTTGATTGGTCTAAATGCCCATAGGTCGACCTGGTACTTTAAATAAATAGCACAGTGTTTTCGAAGTTCTAACCTTTAAAGACTGCAGAGTGAGAGTATACTGACTAGAGAAGGACCAAGGGGAGAAGTATCTAACCTTTTAAGACTGTAGGTTGGTGCAGAGTGAGAGTATACTGACTAGAGAAGGACCAAGGGGAGAAGTATCTAACCTTTAAAGACTGTAGGTTGGTGCAGAGTGAGAGTATTCTGTCTAGAGAAGGACCAAGGGGAGAAGTATCGTCCAGAGCAGTTCTACCCGGGCACACAGATACACAAACACGCGTCAACTTACTTCCCACCACCTAAAAATTCAGCCAAACGATCATCAACCAATCAACCAACCAATTTATCAATAAATTAAGTAACCAATTTATCAATCATTCAGTCAACCAAACATTCAATCATTCAATCAATCAAACAATCAATCGACCAAATCAATGAACCAATTGATTAAGTTAATAATAATCTTAACTTAATACATCATTAACAATATAAATTATATAAAAAGGTCAAATTCCCAGGCCCCAACTCCCCTTTTTAAAAAAATTATAGCTTTACCATAAAATCTATAGTTTGCTGCCTGATTATCTTTAAACTAAATAGGGAATATGAAAATGTTTCTCGGGTTTGGGAAACATTTTCAGATTTTATCGAATCATATTTTACAGGGATTGCTGGAGGCATCCTTCTTTTGTGTTAGATTTTCAATTCCTTCCCAATTTCTGGATTTTTAGTCTGATCTTTATCTTACATTTGAAATTTCCAATCAATTTTACGCGAACTTTATGTTTATTCTACTGTAACGGAATGCTGCTTGGTTTAAGTTTGTGACTCTCTTTAAGATCTCGGCAGGGCGACCAAACTTATGCCACGCTGAATTTTGGAATACCCTTCAATTACTTATTGCCAAACATTATTTTTATATCGTGTTTTTACCGTTAGAAGTGCAGTAGTGTGCTCCCAGTCAATGCAAAGTATGGTGACCTCTGTTAACCTGGTCAGGGTACTAAGCCCCTCCCAGATACAGGTATATTCAGGCTTTAATAGATTCGGGAAATCCTCAGCATAAAGAAATAGCCTGCAAAATTTTAATTTTATGGTTATCCTGTCCCTGTTTAGTCAAAATGGCGAAGATTTCGTGGATTTAATGTATTATCACATATTCGTAGAATTCAACGCTCTGAGACCGAATTTAAAGAATTTGAGCCAGGGCTTAAGTTTAAACCGCGGCTCAAATATGGTTGGATCCACTTAAAATTGCATTCAATGTTTCATGATTTATGCCGGCGCTCAATTGAAACCGGTTTTTGGCGGATTTTAGACGCGGTTCAAATTCATTAAATTCGGGCACTGGTTTCAAAACAAGTCACATCAGGAGGTTTTCATTTAAACTTTGAATATACATACATTATATATAAAAACTCCAGGCAACCAAATAAGAGGTGCTGTTGTGAATTATTGATGGCATTTTTATTGTCAGTCTTTATCATAATTTCGAATTTTTGTAGAAACAATTGTTCACAATTTGTCATATTATACTCACAAAACAAGTTGCTTTGTTCAATTTGTGATTTTAAAGGGATATAACAATGCATGTATAATGAGGAATTGGACGAAAATTAATTTAAAAGTTTCTTAAATTTCACCTGATTTTGGATATGTTGGGGCAAGCTTTGCAAAGCAGTTGAACATCATCTCGAATTTCAGATCTTAAACAAAATTTATATAAATAAATACAAAATGGAATTTTTTTTACTATTGATGCGATATGTAAATCCGATCTTCATAACCCCCTTGCAGCATTTATCCCCCCCCCCTAATTTAAAAATATTTTGGAAAATGTGTTCCCCTAAATTTTTTTCTCACCTTTTCTCTTCAATTGATAGATTTGAATTATCCTGAAGTTTGTAAAATTCTTCAACATCTTTTTTTATTGGGTCCGGGGCCCATCGTGTAGCGGTTAACCTTCAGCCATATTTTTCAGAGATAAAATTTTTAAAATAGTTAATTCACTATTTAAAAAAAAGAATATCTTTTATAATTGTCGAATGTCGACTTGTTTTTGCTGAGAAAGAAACAAATTGAATCAAATTGACTGATGGGTTGTCTTTAATAAAAATAACAATAATATTACTCATAATAATAATAATAATATTAATAATAATAACAATGATGAAAATACGTTCCAATCGTGACTATAGTGTTTGGTAACCACGTCTATAGATACCTCCTCTAAACCTGAAAATAATTAGAAAAATTGGTTCTCTAAAGATACTTGAAGATTTATTTTAGTGGAGTTCGAAAGCGAGTTGTATCTTTACGATACACATTAAAGAATACATATAGCGTCGTATCTTGATTGATACAGACTGAAGTATTATTAATTGGGGATTGAGTTCTAGAGTGAATTGTATCTGTAAGATACATACTAAAGAATACATATATAAGCGTCGTATCTGGATTGATACAGACTGAAGTATTATTGATTGGGGATTGAGTTCGAGAGTGAATTGTATCTGTAAGATACATACTAAAGAATACATATAGCGTCGTATCTTGATTGATACAGACTAAAGTATTATTGATTGGGGATTGAGTTCTAGAGTGAATTGTATCAGTAAGATACACATTAAAGAATAAATATAGCGTCGTATCTGGATTGATACAGACTAAAGTATTATTGATTGGGGATTGAGTTCTAGAGTGAGTTGTATCTGTAAGATACATATTAAAGAATACATATATAAGCGTCGTATCTGGATTGATACAGACTAAAGTATTATTGATTTGACATTGAGTTCTAGAGTGAGTTGTATCTGTAAGATACATACTAAAGAATACATATATAAGCGTCGTATCTGGATTGATACAGACTAAAGTATTATTGATTGGGGATTGAGTTCGAGAGCGACTTGTATCTGTACAATATAGGCTTAAACGAAAATATTGGAGTAAGGCATTTGTTACAAACATATAATATATAATACCTGATTTGAAATCTGATTGAATGTTTGGATTGTCTTTCATAAACTTCAATCCTCGTAACACATCCATAGATCCCAGACTCTTGATCTATAAAAATAAATAGTTTACATCTATTCTAAAATCTGAGAAAGAGATCAAAAGAACAATAGAATAAAAATATATCATACCATGTAAATATTTAGCGAATTTCAGATAAAAATAATTTTTCAAAAATAATGTTACAATTGATTTAAATTTTTGTAAATCTTAGAATTTCATTATCAGACAACCCCAAAAAATTTATATTTAAACATTTTCAGAATTATATTTGCTAAATTTCATATTGGAATCGGATGCATTAGCAAATGTGCATAGCAATGGTAAAAGTCCGATACACTTGGGCTTTTACCTACCACATGGTAAGTACGTTTATGAAGAGGCTTAAAATTACCCGACTTAGGGGTGTATATTTTCTCGAAAAATCCCCCCTTTTTGAAAATTTTTGTCTCCCAGAAGTTATGCATGTTTCTTATGTTTTTTTTTCAGAGTTTTTTCTCTTAATTGGGGAAAATAAATAATTAGTATGAAAAAGGATAAAAAACTTGCTTTTCAATTTTTGAAAACCCCCTGCAAACCATATATTTTCTGATCCATGAGAGGGGGCTGAGCCCTCATAGCCCCCCCCCCTTCCCTCCCCATGAGTAAGCCTCTATGAATCCTACCTGTGGTAGAGCCAGGAGAAGGAAAGGAAGGATTTCATGCCTCGGCCCCATCTGTCCAATATTTAGAACCTGGAGGGACGCGCACAAAATATTCCTTGTTCGGCCATCTTCTGTTTACAGAACAAGTTTTGACACACCAAGTAAGGTAGTTGAACTGAGTATGCAGTGTTGTGGAAAACTTCTTTCGGATTCATTTGAGACATATCAAACTTTTTAAAGATCTGTAAATCCTGAGTTTGAGCGCAAATTGCACGTACAAAACTACTTTGGGGTGGATACGTTTTCATAATTAGCTTTTTTTTTAATTATTAAACAACGACGACATAAAAAGTCAAGTTATATATAACACGTTCAACCTTTAACTTAAAATGTTTGTAAATTGTAACAAATAAATATTTAAATTGTAAAATAAATATTTAAATTGTAAAATAAATATTTAAATTGTAAAATAAATGTTTGTAAATTGTAACAAATAAATATTTAAATTGTAAAATAAATGATCCAAATTTCAAAACCAAGTTTGACCAAAATAATAAAATTTAATAACAAATAAAAAATATCTAAATCTGTTTATACACTTGTTGGTTTCCTAGATCTGGAATATATTCAACCTTCTCTCCTTCCTTCAGGGGATAAAAACGTAGCTCTTAAATAAACAAAAACAACATAGAAATATTGTTTCATCCTCTAATAATACAAATTCAATTCAATTTAAATCTAATCAAATCAAATTTAAAAAAAACTAAACTTACCTCTATTAGGGGGAAGCCTTTCCTCAACAATAGGTTCAGGCCTTAAAATAAATTTAGTTATTATTAAACAGCTTGAGATTTATAGTTGAGATTGAAAGAAAGCCTCAAAACAATATTATAAAAAAACATTCTCTGGCAATACAACTTTTTAAAAATGGAAAATTAGTTTTGGTATAGTAGTCAGTGGTCAGTATACGGTGAATTTTCATTCATTTATAAAAAGCTGTTTTTTTTGGTATGCAACAATTTTCATTTAATCCCGCCGGGATATTTTCATTGAAAGATACTACAAAGGCAAAAAAAAAATCTGCAAAATCCGCAAGCCCTCGGGTTTATCATTGAATCCCCTCTTTAAAAAGGAATGTCATTTACTCTTAGACAAATTAGTATCAATGGAAATTTAAACCCCCTCGGGTTTGATTCTAATTTGTCTGAGAGTAAATGATACATTCCCTACATACAAATAATCTGATGGAAATACAAGAAAATAAAACTCTCGAATAATGACACTTACATGCCCTCCGGAAGAACAAAACCAGACTGCCAAGGTTTGGGCCCTGGGGGACGCCGGAGTACTAGATTTGGTTCATGAATTGATTTGCAGAAATCACTTGCTCGAACAACATTCGCAAGATACATTGGGCCTGCAGACAAAAATCATAAATAAATGATCATATTTAAGGTATTTTAAAATATGCTAATTCAACAGATAAAAAGTATTTTTGAATATTTAAAAACCTATTTCACCTAGTTCTGGGTATTTAGTTTCTATATCTTGGTAAAGCCTATCATCAACAATAGGTATAGGATTCGCTAAAAAAACGCAACCCGGTCTAAAAAGTGAAGCAATCAAAATTGTTTTATTTATGTCATTTTTAGTAAATCTTATTCTGTTGTCGTAATTATGTTTATATGTTTATGTTTATATGTTGATGTGTTTATGTGTTTATGTTAATGTTTACATGTTAATATTTATATGTTTATGTTTATATGTTTATAAATTTATATGTTTATATGTTTATATGTTTACATGTTTACATGTTTATATGTTTATATGTTTAAGTTAATGTTTATGTTTATATGCTTATATGTTTATGTGGTGTTATTCATGAAGTATGATGAGAATATTTTTATGAATGAAAATAATTTTGAGTATGCTTTAGTTCTGATCTTGCGTTTATTATGATGCTTTATACTTTCAAATAAACGTTTATATTTTCAGAGTGTTGAATCTCTTTTGGTAGATTGTTCCAGGGTTTAATGACTCGATTACGATATTTTAAAATATTCTGGGCAGTCTGAATTTGTTTTTACGTTAAGCGTCCCAGTAAATACTGTTTATTTTTGTCAAAATATAATAGTTACCTCAGACTATTTTGTCCCCATTCATCGCGACACCATGGACAGTATTGATCAGTCCTGGACAACGGTTAAAAAGATCAATAAGGAAACTGAGGTTGGAACTTGAACGCTTGATCTCAATATTCCCTGTGGACACTTAAATGCTTGATTATAAATTATAAAGATACGACCACCAGGGGATATCGAAGACGACTTAAACTAATCCGAAGATCTGCACAAAAACGGAAATCAGTCAGATCTTGATCCCTAGACTCACAATACAAAAGTTCAGATCAATCAATTAATACATTTCAAGTTTATGAAAATAAATGCTACCTATGTTTATAAAACTCCTCAGGTGCACTATCATACTTGTAGCAGACAATATCACCAACTTTCTAGATAATCATTAATCACTTACAAAAAAGAGGGGTGCAGGCTCGTGCCCCCCCCCCCCCTCTATACCTTTGTTCTTGATTTATTTATTTATTTTTTAAAGTTTTTCTGTTAAAATATACACTACGTACAAGTTTTAAAAACGGCTTAGAGTAAAGCTATAAAAGATTAAAAGCACTCCAGGGAGCTTAATTACGCATTTGGTTAGCTCCATATATGCGTACATTGTACATTGAGCATTGCACATTTGTACAGAGAATTAAAAACAGCATTTTTAAGAGCATTTTTTTCTGTGGACCTAATTTACTGCATGGGTAAATTTCCAGAGTCTTTGGTCGTTTTTTTTCTAGATTTTTCTTAACCTTAACATATTTTTCAGAACTTCGATTACTATGATCACAGGAATCCAAACCCAGGACTTTATTTCCAGTGACATTTTGTCTCGGAAATCGGGACTTCTTATTCATATAATTTAGCCCAGTCCAGCTCAACCCTGTTAACAGAGTTATCTTTCAATTCAAATCTCAAATCTAGTATTTATAAAGACGTCCGCATATTTTATCTTGATTAGTAATGTCTACATTAATTCAAGGAAAATTAGTCCCAAAACTAACACTTGGCCCATTTCTAACACTGAGTGTAAGAAATAATTATTATTAGTTTAAAATTGACATTTTTTGTGTCAATATATAGTTTCACTCAATCTTTATAAATGTATGGTGTAGTTGGATTTAAAGACATATACGATTGGAAAAGATATATTTGCAGACTTGGCCCATATCTAACACTCAGTGATAGAAATGGGCCAAGTGTTAGTTTTGGAACTAATTTCCCCTGTAATTCTAAGATATGAAAATCTTTAAACAAAACTCTATAAATTATTTCATATTGGTACATATCTAGTTCTTATCGTGCATAAAAATGTTGAAAATAATAGTTTTGGACACAGTGCTAGTTTCTAAAACGTTGATGAATAGAATAAAATTGCAACATTCTCTCTTCAAGATACCTGATAAGGCGGAAGATACATGTACCGATGGAGAGTGTTGTTGGCATCGCGAAGAAATAGATGAATAAATGCTTCAGTCGGCACACTTAGAGATGCACTGAAAACCAATTGTATAAGAACTTTTCATATTTGCTGTGGAACTATATACTTAAAGTAGGAATCTGGTTGTTTATCGTTATGTATAACTCACAAAGCCCATAACCGATTTGCCTCAAATTTTGATTGTTTGATTTGTAATGGGAAAGTTTAAGTTTCCCGGCAAAGCTGGATTTCCGAGCTAGTTAACGATAAAGTTTCATATTCTTAGCCTGGTTGACTGGTTATTAATAATTATTAATGTATCTATAATTAATTAATTATCATTAAAGTAAACAATATTTCAGACGAAAATATTACTGAAAACCCACCTAACATCAAATATTTTCAGGTTTGGTACAAAGTGTCCAATTCCTTGAAAAAGTTTAACTATCACCAACTCTCCATATCTAGTTGTACAGAGCAATTCATACGTCAAAAAAAAAACATTAAATTAGGAGTAACTCTTCAGTCTCATAGGGTTTAGAATAAATTGGTGGGGGAGGGGGAGGGTGGAAGGAGAGTGGTCCATGAATTTGTGTTTAATGTTCCATGTTCATGTAGGATTGAGAAAAGTATTGGGGTAGGCGATGGGGGGGAGGGTGGTTAATGAATTTAAGTCAGGACTCTCGTAGGGTTGAAAAATATGAAGGAAATTCATGAATTTGTGTACTAGTCTGTAAATGTTGAGAACGGGGAAGGATTTGAGTCACTGTCGCGAAGCGTAGCAAAGGTATGGTTAAGGGGCCGGGAATTTATGAATGTGTGTTCCTGTCTCGTAGGTTTGAGAGTTTTACACCCAGCTCTGATCCAAATGTGATCTCTGTAAGACGGGGAAATCTGGCACCAGTCTCTGCACTAAACCAGAAATTTCAGGATTTATTTTTCGAGACATTTTTTGTGAGTTTGAATTGAATCTCCAGGTTTAGATAAGAATCAACCCTACTTAAGAACTGATGATTATGTATTTTGAAATTTTTGTTAAGTACTATATCAAGAACTACTATCAATGTCTTTTATTAATAAAAAGGAATATCCAGTTTAGTTTTTAAAAAAAGATTCATAAGATCTAAATATCTTAATCCTGGCAATTTATTCCTAAATAAATGTGCAATGTTGAGGTAGAGGTCCTGAAATAAAAACAATCTGCATGAAGAAAAAAATGTGTAATAATGTGTATCCCCCTTTTTAATAATATCCTTAACTTTTTTTGCTTTGTAAAATATAGAGATATTAATAATTTAGAAAAAGAGTCTCAAGTAAAGATAAACGTGTTCGGCTTTTTTCATTTCGTTCGTCCATCAATCGTGAACGACCGATTGTGTCCATTTTTCTTCAATCGTTCAAAAAAAAATTATCGTCCATTTTCCATCTGTATAGTTTGTTTCTCTCTGAATAGTTCAGTAAAATTGTTTTTTTCAATAAGATCGTTCGTTTATAAAAACGATCGTTTTTCTTTTCTCGGTAAGATCGTTCATCCATCGTTCGTTTTTTCTGAACCACACCATTTCGTTACGTTCGTTCCGAAAAAATTTCGTTTGTTCTGAAAAACTATGTCCATCTCTAAAGTCAAGACGCCAAAATTGATTTCCAAAACTGAGTTATGTTTACATTACCTCCGAGTATGGTCTAGTCGATACAGATTCACCAGGGTCCGCTGACGCTGAGAGGATAGTGGGATAATCTAGATAATCTTGTGTTTCCTAAAAAGAATGGTGGAATACTCTAGATAATCTTGTGTTTCCTAAAGAGGATATTGGGATAAGAACATAAGAAAAGAAATCTGAAAAAGAGGTCCCGTTATGAACCCCCCAGACCGCCGGCAGGCATGGGAAGCACCGTCCCACACCTACTCTAACTGGACCTTTAAACCCACAACAATTAGCCCATTGTCAGAAGATAAAAAGGTGATACTATCCAGCCAGTGGCTCATCAACTAACTCCATTGGAAGGTTGGTATCAAACAACCCTTTAGGCGAAGAAAAGAGGTTACCCGAATTGGGATACTCTAGATAATCTTGTGTTTCCTAGATAGAATAGTGGAATACTCTAGATAATCTTGTGTTTCCTAGATAGAATAGTGGAATACTCTAGATAATCTTGTGTTTCCTAGAAAGAATGGCTAAATACTCTAGATTATCTTGGGTTTCCTACAAAGAATTGTGGAATACTCTAGATAATCTTGTGTTTCCTAGATAGAATGGTTGAATACTCTAGATTATCTTGGGTTTCCTAGATAGAATGGCGGGATACTCTAGATAATCTTTTGTTTCCTAGAAAGAATGGTGGAATACTCTAGATAATCTTGTGTTTCCTACAAAGAATTGTGGAATACTCTAGATAATCTTGTGTTTCCTAGATAGAATAGTGGAATACTCTAGATAATCTTGTGTTTCCTAGATGGAATGGCTCTAGATTATCTTGTGTTTCCTAGATAGAATGGTGGAATACTCTAGATAAACTTGTGTTTCCTAGATAGAATGGTTGAATACTCTAGATTATCTTGGGTTTCCTAGATAGAATGGCGGGATACTCTAGATAATCTTGTGTTTCCTAGATAGAATGGTTGAATACTCTAGATTATCTTGGGTTTCCTAGATAGAATGGCGGGATATTCTAGATAATCTTGTATTTCCTAGATAGGATGGCGGGATATTCTAGATAATCTTGTATTTCCTAGATAGGATGGCGGGATATTCTAGATAATCTTGTATTTCCTAGATAGAATGGCGGGATATTCTAGATAATCTTGTATTTCCTAGATAGGATGGCGGGATATTCTAGATAATCTTGTATTTCCATGATAGGGGGATACAATCCAAATAGATAAACTAGAAATGAAAATAAAAGTACCTGATAAACACCAAGAATGAGCTCCGATCGAATATGCATAGAGGAGAACTCGTGGGAATGTAATTCTAGAAAAATCCGAAAATAGTCATTTTAAAAAAGTTTTATTTCAAAGCCTTGATTAGTCCGTACAATAGTTATTTCATTTTAAATTTCAAGTCGTCCCTCTGGCCCTAATAGATCAGACGGGTTAATTTTGTTATAAATGGGGTCAACACTCAACAATTGTTGCTTTGTCATCAATAGTCAACTTGAAATATTCCAGTTACCTGTATTGTGAATAATAAATCTCTCCAGTGGAATGTTATGTCGCCTGGGACTCTGTTTTACGGATGCCTTCAATTGAAAATATTTAGCAAAGTGTTATATTTAATTAGAAAAATATTAACCTTTTTTANATGAACAAAAAAATAGTTCAAATAAACAAAAAGTAGTTCAAACGAAATTGTAGAAAAACATAAAAATAGTTCAAATGTGGGGTTAGGTAAGGATATGTCATTTTTAAAGGAAAAAACTGATTTGGATTTGCTTTTGTTAGTAAAAAATAGGTGATCTTTTAGGTAAAAAGTAAGCGAAACATTAACTGGCTAGTAGAGGTGATATTTTTCTATTTTTTTGTATTCCTCAAATCTTCAATAATTATGACCCTGCAGTTCTTCTCCAGTAAATTTGGACAAACCCAACCAAAAATAAAGATTAAAAATAAAAATATTAAATATTTGCCTGATAATGTGAAAGTATTGAGGGAATGTCGAATCCAATATAATTCCTAAAATCAAAACAATATTTCATTTTAATATTTAATTCATTTATTTTTGAAAATTTTAGATTTTTAATAAGCGCTAAAGCTTTAAACGTACAAAATTCTCTTTTTACTTTGAGATAGCATAAATGTTAGAAAAAAGTTGACCAACAAAAAGTAAAAAAAATCGCAAAACCTTGTATATTATGGTAAAAATGAAGAATAAACATCCTAAAAAGTTACCTGACTGGTCTCTGTTTACTAACTATTTTATTCTGTATATTAGAATCTATCTTTAACTCTTGGATTTCATCGTTCATAACCACGCACGCCATTGTCTCAACTTTAACCATTTTTTATTAATAATTTTGACTTGTATTTCTGCCTCTTTGTTTGTTGGCAACCAATAAACTTCAGAATATTCGAAATAGAAAAATTGTCGATCTTGTTAGTTTTAAAAAATCCATTAATGTTAACAGAAAAATCATCGAAACTTTGATGGTAAACATTTTAAAGAAAAAATGGAGACTTAAAAAGTAATATTATAAAGCTAAATTGTTACTATTTTTTTACAATTTATTTTTAAATTCAAAATGTTTAACAAAATTTTAGAAAGAGCAGTGAATTTTTTCTCTGACATGTATCTTCTTTATAGTTGACTGCAGTTTTCAGTTTTGCCAGGAATGTCTGACTCAACTGGTTGAAGGTTCAGGTTCAAACATAAATTCATTGTTCAATATTCTTACAGGTTTAAGAAAAAAAATTTCACTGCGTTAAGCAGGGTTTGAGAATTCTGAGGATATTATTTGTCAGAATTTTGCCTTAATAATGACAATTGGGATATGAAAGGTTAGAAAGGCGTGGATATTTTTGACAACAGAATTTTGGTTCTTGTAAGTTCACATCAGACACAGTACTTCAGAATATGGCCTCATCTACATTAATCTTTTCCTTGCAGCTGGCAAAGTATTAACTGGTATCATAGTGCATGGTGCACACCCATCAGTATTCTAATCCAAGGTTTACAGAGTTACCGTCTCTTCTGGCATGAGGGAGGGGGAAGAGAAGCGGAGAGAAACACCTCCTTCTCTGCACTATTTTTTTTCTTTTTTTTCCAAGTAGGGTGTACTTCCATGTTATTCCACACAGGGTTCTGTCAAGCCACAAGAAACTAGAGAGTTATATAAAAAACTGACTGTACTGAGCTCCCTTGATGATTAAACAAAAAACTAGATTCAATTAAAAGAATTAGTGTCTTCCCGATAAGTTCAGATACTTAATAACAGCTAACCAGACTTGTTATTAAGGAGTATATTTAAATCTACCAATAGCAAAATCTGGATCCAGCTAGGTAAACAAACCTCCATTCTCCAGGATAATTCAGCTTTAAATGGTTTTTGCAGGCCTTCAATGTTTCTTGTAGTTCCGTTTATTTCTTTTCCATTGAAGTTTTTCTAGTTCGCCATTTTCTCTCTCTCACCCTGTATCTGTCAGCACTCTTAATAGCGCCGAGCCAGAGCAAGTTGTTGCTCCTCTGAAAGCTAGATGTATATTGAAAATTGTTACTTACAGTAAGGCTAGAAGCGCCCTAGAAAACTAATTTAAGATAAAATAAGAACAATCACTGTATTTGAAATGAAAAAGCTTTAAAATTAAAACTGTCACAAATTACATCTTTTACTTTATTGCTAAAGAAAAGCTTATTCACAAACGACTTTCATTCCACTTTTGAGTTGTTAAAACTGTAATTTACAACAACTTAAATTTACAAATATTTTTCTTTGTTGGGTTTCAGCCATTTTGGCGTTAATTATCAAGTTTTAATATAATTCCCAGCAACTAAAAACTTCGTTCTTTCTTTGTCAAATTATTAAATAAGCCAATACAAGACCTAATTCATGGCGGAATTATTTAAAACTTTAAATCGTCTTTACAGTCTTGCCCTTTGTTGGTAATACTTTTATAAAAGATATTTAAAATATATTAAGATATGATACATGTCTAAAAATGTTAAGGATATTTTTATATTGTAAAAAAACAAGTATGAAAATTTGTTATTTTCAAGAGTGATGTCAAGAATTTAAAGAAACAAAAAATTTAAAATCCAAAAATGGTTCCTATATAAACTCCAGTACAGCAGGGACTACAACATTTCTCCCCATGTTTTTTCATTTGCCTGTAAAAAAAATATAGGAATTAATCTAAAATATAAATTCTTAGCAAGAACTAATGTCTTTTATCTTTATTGAATACACATTTGTTTAGGCGGATACCTGTTTGAACTACCACAGTTTAAACTATTGTTCATTTAAACTACTGATATGACGTCATATCCTGTAGTTCAACTTCAAATCAACATGATAATTGCTTATTTAAACTATTTTTCTTAACATACAGTAGTTTTTAAAATGTTTGGATTTCATGAAGTTTACAGGTCAAACAAATAAATATATTTCAAATGGACATTTATAAAAATAGATAAAATGAACATAAAAATTAGTTCAAATGAACATAAAATAGTTCAAATGTACATACATTACGATAGTTTAAATGAACACAAAACAGCTCAAATGAACATGAAATGGTTCAAATGAAATAACTCATATGAACACAAAAATAGTTCAAAATAACAAAAATATAGTTCAAATGAACAAAAAAAATAGTTCAAATGAACAAAATAGCAGTTCAAATGAATAAAAAAAATAGTTCAAATGAACAAAAAAAATAGTTCAAATGAACAAAAAAATTGTTCAAATGAACAAAAAATAGTTCAAATGAACAAAAAAATAGTTCAAATAAACAAAAAGTAGTTCAAACGAAATTGTAGAAAAACATAAAAATAGTTCAAATGTGGGGTTAGGTAAGGATATGACATTTTTAGGCCAAGCACTTACGGCTAGGGGGCCGAGCGCTGTGGTAACATTTATCAAGTTGACAAAGTGATACCTGATATGTGGGGTTAGGTAAGGTTAGTGATACCTGATATGTGGGGTTAGGTATGGTTAAGTCAATTTCTGGACCGAGCGCTGCGGCTAGGACAAGCTAGGGGGCCGAGCGATACGGCTATGTGTTCATATGAACATAAAAATAGTTTAAATGAACCAAAAAAAAAGTCTAAAAATTTATTAGTTCATGTATAAAACAATATTTCATGTTTATTTGAATTTTTAAAAAAAATTTGTTCATTTCAATTAAATTTGTATGTTCATTTAAACTATTTTTTGTTCATTTGAAATATATTTCTTTCATTTAAACTATTTTGTGTTTATTTGAACTATTTTGTTGTTCATTTAAAATTTTATTTTGTTCATTTGAACTATTTTTTTGTTCATTTGAACTATTTTTTTTGTTCATTAGAACTATTTTTATGTTCATTTGAACTATTTTTATGTCCATTTGAACTATTTCATGTTTATTTGTATTATTTTTTATGTTAAAATAGTTCAAATGGGAAAAATGAAAATTTGGCCATCAAAAGAAAAGTTTTAAATTCTTTTAGACATGTTTCACAAAAAATATGATCATTTTCCTCTAAAATTGTAAAAAAATTTATTTTGAACCTTTAAAAATAATTCCAGTCTGCGCAACCATACCCTTAACTTCTGGAGGCGAGGGGGGCGATAATTAAAAAAATAAACACCCATGAGAAATAAATCTAAAAATCATGCATTTTTTTACGATAAACGAAAATATAATCACATCTTGATAATTTTACCTCAGAATATCTCGGCCCTCTGCAAGTGTTTCAATTCTCCAAAACAGTAAAATATTCATTTGATTTTTGTTTATAGATCATCAAAACGCAACCCCTTTTAATAAAAAATAAACACCACTTTTAACCCCCCCCCCCCCCTCTCCCCGTAAGAAGGAGAATGGCTTCCCTGTGAGCGGTTGAATAATATTCTCGTATTCTGTATTGAGCTCCGTGTACTCTAATCTATACCTGGAGCTAGGGAACTCACCGGAGAAAATTCTTCGAGCACAGAACTAATGAGAATATTAAGGGTAGGGGGGCAGGGGTATCAAACAAAATACCTTTTTTAAATTCTAAGGACAAAAATAGAAGATAAAATAATTATAAACTATAAGCTTAATTCTCAATTTTTTTAAGTTTTTAAAATAAAAAAATTGTCCAATGTCAAGAAAAATAAAGGAGAAGAATACAATTGTTCAATAATATTACATATTACCAAATTAATAAATATTTGAATCTAAATCATTGTTGTTTCCTTCGAAGCATCTCTTGTCTAAAATATAGTTCAATAAGTCATCATAATTTTCAAAAAAAAAAGGGAATGGGGAAATATTGTGACGACAAAATGAAAATTAAACACAGGAGAGAGATAAATGTTGTTGTTTTATATCTTAGTATCCTTATATTTATTAGAAACAACAATAGAAATTCCTGGGTGTGTGCGAAATTACCCATACAACTAAAATCAAACTCTTTTATTCTCTCCGATGTTTCTGTAAACTGTTCCCGCGAATAAGAAATTTAAAATTCCCTGCCTAAGCTGAAAGCCGCCGATTTTTTTCGAGACAGCTCCCTTCATTGAAGAAAGTAAATTATCATTGAACCAAAGGAAGGAAAATGACTATTTGTTGAGAACAACTTAAAAAAATATATTCCTGAAGATAGAGCTGACAGTTCCACTCATGCTGCTCCCGAGCTGCTCTTTAAGCATTGGAAGCAGCTTTTCGGCTAGAGCTTTAAATAGTCCAGACTCATCCTAGGGATAAGATTTATTTATACTGGTAAGTATTTTTAAGTATTGACCCAGCGCGGGACGCGGCCAGGGGGGGGGCAGTAATTGTCGAAAATTTAAGGGGATGGCGGAATAGAAAAATTTTAACCCTAGCTTATAATTCACTGAGTAAAAACTGTTTGTAAAAAAGACCAAGCAGATTATGACATTAAAATATTTGTTGTTAAATGGATCGTAAGCGTAATTTCAAAAGACCCTCCATTGATACGACTGACATTTTCGATTCAAAACTGAACCCTAAGAGCTTTGTCATATCAAGTGAATAAAATATCCATGTTTTTCTTCTTTAGAACTTTCTCTACAAATGTGAATTGCGCATTCTTGCTTCTAGAACATTGGAGAAAATATTAGAATCTATTTTTGTTTAGGGTTACCATTATGTTAAGAAGAGGGTCACATAAAATGACATTGATAACTTACTTTTGTGGTGAGATGAATATATGTGGCACAGACTGATTCTAGATAGTAGAGATATCTAGTTATACATTGGTTCTCCAGGGTACTAGGACCTAGCCCAGATATACTCATCTCTATCTGAAAATATTGAAATTAAATATTCTCAAGAATTGAAGGGGGGATATCATAAATGAGTAATTTCCTATAAGATTTTTGGACCCCGCCCCCTCCCCCCTCCTATTAATTTTGTACATGGATCTCATATGAACACATGGATATAAGTGGTCATGTGGCCGCAGCGCCCGGTCCCCTAGCCTGTCCTAGCCACCTGCCAGTATTAGCCGCAGCGCTCGGCCCCCTAGCTTGGCCTATCCGCAGCGCTCGGCCCAGAAATTGTCTTAACCTAACCTAAAATAATAATAAAATGAATAATATTTTTGCTAAAAAATGAAAAATTAATGATTATGTACAAAACTGGGTATTTACCTCGGGAGCGATTTTTGGACCCCCCCCAGGGGTCCAAAAATCGTATACTAGGACAGACCCTATTTCCGCCATTAAAGCTGCGTTTCTGATTTGTAGACTTTTGTATATCCTGCATCTTGTGGATTAGTAACTATAACACTTATTTTTTTTGTTGAACCTTCTTTGTTTGAAGCGAGGTTTATACAAACTAAAAATATCCATTTGATAAACCTACAATTCCCCAACCAGAATTTTAAAATCAATTTTTGATTTTTATTTAGTATACAAAGTGTTTAAACTTGAAAGTTATAATATTAAAATTTTTTGACTTCGCTATTGATATTTGGAGGGACGCTACGTCAAAAATTATATTATTGCTCTTCGTTCAGAACCTTAAAGGCACGGACCGACTATCGATTCACTCCAATCCAACTCCTGTGTAAATATAATGTAAACACAAAGCAAAAATAGCTTCATCAAGCCAGCGTAGAACTTTAAATATTCTGGATAATCCTAAAATACGGCTATCGCTCGGTCAACAAAATATCTAGATATCTTATGGCTTTTCAGCTGCTCGGTTTTTTAAAAACTGAACCACGGTCCACGCCCTCCACGGGGCACAGTATCCATAAGATTCAAAACCGGTTTTCTTCACTTCGTTCACTATTACCAAAGTCTTTATGTTTTTATTGTGTTTATCTATTAGATCACCGAACGCGGCATAAGCGCTGAGAAACCAGGGAGATATATTCCCTACTCCCTATTCTACTAACAGGGGACTATATGCCGATTTATCAATTACCAGAACAAAAGGGAAAATAAAGGCAAAAAATGTTACCAATTGGACAAAACTATATTCTTAATTTGATTATTGTATGTGCCCCTTTTTCATGTTATTTGAAGAGAACCCATAAAGAGCTAACAAATGCCGCATTGAATGAGGGAGGGTTAAGGCAACCTCCCCCGCACAGCTTCCGAACCTAATTTTACTCCTTTGGACCTCTGCCTCAGGGTTATTGAGAACGAAAAACTCCTAAATCTTGAAAAGACGACATCTAGTTTTCTACCTGTAATGTTATTAATAGCTATGAAAAAGCAAGGGTTTAATGCAAGGACAGTTATATCAGAAGTGTACGCATGTTTTGCACTGCAGTGTATGTCACTGGGCGGTAATGTAAACACAAGACGGATGTCGAAGTCTGAAATGGGTTCCATCTTTCACAAAAATAATCAATGAAGAATTCTGGTCATAGGAAACTATTATGTGAATTATCAAAATTATCAAAACTCAACGCTTTTAACCTCCTCGGATACATAAACGAACACTGGGGCATCTATTCTTGTTTACGAATTCCGCCCAAAGAGAACTGGTTTCTATATTTACGCAGCTAGAGTATACGCAACTGCAATTAACTTTCCTTGCATTACGTTCTTGTGAAAAAGAATATAGCTCAGCTTTAAGGATTGCTATATAGACACAAACAAAAGTAAATATATCTTCTGTTTTCATTTTTTTTAAATCCTTATCATGCATTGCTAAATAAAATCTATAAAGCTATAATCTTTCAGGGGCGGATACAGGATTTAGTAAGGGGGGGGGGCAAATTTTTTTGGGACCAAAAAAATGAATACCCTTCCCCCCCCCTTGTATCCGCCCCTGTAATCTTTAATAGATTAGGCTAGGTGAAACTATTAAATTTATAAGATTAGCTTACTTTAAGTTAAACGAATTATTAACGGACTACATAGTTTTTAGACGTGATTTCAAGTAACACTCCATTCATAGAATTGTCATGTCTGACTCACAATGGTACTCTTCAAACAGCTCTGACTGTGAAGAAATCTATGTTTTTCTCGTTGAAAATGGTGAACAAACACTGTAGACGGCCACTGGGGTTCACTAGTGTACAGTGTGAACGTTACGCAAATAAACGTAGATAAAATATTAATAAAAATATGATCAACGCGGTGTTTCAAAATTTGAATGAAAATTTATTTCTAATTTTACTCAAAGAAAACCAAAAATACAATTTGAACCATAAAACCTCGGAATAGGAAGATGACCTTCATGTTATGGAATATCATATATGATTGTTAAAATTAATTCGAAATATAAGGAAGACGATTTTTCCGACTCAAATGCCGTAGCCTTTTCTCCAGATGAATGTGTACTCAAGATCCATTTCCTCCTCATGTAGTGCCCACATGTCGAATCTCCGCTCATCCCAGCTCCCGGTATTCAGTCATGTTAGGACAGTTGAACTAGTAACAGCTCCGACACAGGGAGCCTCTTGACTCCTTTATGATGATGACGCAGATACTCAATTAGCAGCAGACAGGCTTACCCGAGGGTTCCCAGTTTATCATGCACTCCACTTCCAGAGACTACATAATCGCTCAAATCCAGCATGATAAAGCCGCGATCTCTGCCTACTAGGTTGGATAAGCCCTGTTGCCCCAGTTCCTGTTGATCTGCTCCACCAACATGAAGCTCTACAACACTCCCATGAAGTACCATCAAATATCCATCCATAATTCCTTTGTTAATTTCTAAATCAACCAATTTTAACTCCGCCTTAAATGCAAATATTTCAAAACACTCGTTTTTTAAATAAATGTTAGAAATATCCATTTTAGATCTCTTTATTTTATTATAGTGACTTTTCAAGTCAACAATGATATACCAATGTCTTGTTTATTATATAGATAAAGATTGAACGTATTTCACAATGTTTACATGCAAAACTATGTTAGCTTAGCTAGTAGATGTGTGTCTTTCTATGCAGGGGCGGATACAAGGGGGGGGGGCGGGGGAAAATTTGCCCCCCCCCCTGAGATTTTGGGGCAAAAAATGTTCCCAATTTGATAAATGTTATTGTTAACGATAAATTTAGAATTAGAAATTTGTAAGAAACTAGACTTAAGTTATAGTATTGTTCATATCTAGTAATGTTCCTTAATCAATACTCATTTATCAAAATTGTAATATTGTTCCTAATTTTCATGCATTTAAGTATAACTAGTAATTTCTTTTTGTTCTTAAATTGCTAATGTTCCTATTATTGTTCCTGTTCCTGTGTCCGACCCACCTTAAATCCCTGTCCTAATCCTATATTTTTGTTCCTCATTCCTGAACAATCAGTTTATTGTTCCTAAATCCCTGTCCTAATTCTTTAATTTTGTTCCTAATTCCTGAACAATCTTTTAATTGTTCCTAAATTCCTGTTCTAATCCTTTAATTTTGTACCTAAAATTTAAAAATCTAGTTTTTTAGTCTTTAGTCATTAATTTTGACTCTTTTTGAGTCTTTTAAGTCAAAAAAAATTTTCGCCTGCGGTACGATTTTTTGTTCCTAATTATTAATTGTTTTGTTCCTAAAAAATCTTGCCCCCCCCCCCTCACTTAAATCCTGTATCCGCCCCTGTTTCTATGAGACTATTGAAGCAAGTTCTAAGCTTGCATTAGATTTCTTTCTAATTTGACACAGTTCTTGGCAGAAATTTATTTTCCATTGCAAATTATTTTTCTGTAAATCTTTCTGATCATAGTAAAATGTTAGTTAGGAAACAAATAAGATATTTTGATGTCCCATTGGACCATGCATGGAAAGTTCCGGTTTTACAATAACTTTTAAATACAAGAACGAATAATTTATATGATCGTTGATTACGTATACTGAAAGTATAAAAATGTTAATTAATGAGTTATGATCAATGTCGCATATTTGTGCATAATTTTGCATATTTTTCTCATTTTCTTTTGTAAAACTATATATTAAAAAATTTATTTAAACAATTTTAAACTGCACCATTTATATATGCATTTATGTCTTTGTGTGTGAATAAATCTTTATACTAATAATAAAAACTATTAATTAGATATCTTTCCCGGTATATATTGTTCATAGGATTTTAAAAAAGCAATGGTTTTGGTAGAACAGATATATTCTATAAAAAAAATATTTTTTACTGTGATAAATGATGTCCTCGATTAAATACAGCTTTATTGAAAGAATTTATAAAATCTCGTTTTCTACACCTATTGATAATTAAAACTTAAAAGCTAGAGATTAATAGTATAATTTTATGTTGCCCTTTGAAACTGTTCCCGAATATTTTATTTAGGCTTAAAAGTATAAAACATTGTGAAGACGATATTTTATAGATTTATTCAATGACTCCGAAGTTCTGGCTCAAACTGAATATGTTTCATGATCCATGACATGTTTAAAAATTTCACTGATAAGGCCGGCGCGCTGTTAACTATGTTTTGACCGTTTACAACATTTCATATTTAACAGTGTGTGCGTGATTTGTATCGATATATCTTATCTTTTATGCAGTTGAATATTAAAGATGGTTTATTAAAGTTGAGAATAGCCTACAAAAAAAAATCCAAGAAAAATTTTTTAAAACGTGATGTCGTCTTTAATGAGTATAATAGTGTGAACCATACCCCATAATTTACTCTGTTGTAAAGGTCGTCTCTGACAAATTGTACCTCCGTTAAACCCTCCGTTCACTTTCCAAACCAAACATTTCCAAGATCTCCACGTAAATGTTAACAAAAGCCTCATGGAGCTAATAAAACTTAAAGTGCATTAAAAAGAACCAATTTAAACATAATTTCAGTGAATCATTTACCAACAAATAGTGAAATTCCTTTAACC